GATCTTAAAGGTCTTCTCCAACTCAACCATTCCATGATTTACACTTGGGTACAAGCAGAGAAGCACTGGGGAGCCCAAGGCAGGAGCAGTCTCACCAACACCTTGGCAGGGAGCCTTTGCAGTGTCCTGGCCACCCCTCCAAGCTCCAGAAGCAGATTCCCACCCCAATTCCCAGAAAGCTGCCCCAGCAGCAATCCCGTCTGTCCAGGTCCCGGCACAAGAGCACAGGCACAGCCAATGCTACAGAAGGCATTTCTCTCCGTGGCAGGAGCATTTCTGTCCGTGGCAGAGCCAGTCCAGCAGTTTTAGCTCATCTGCTCCCACCTCCAACCCTTGATCCCAGTGCCCCAGAGCCCCCCTTTCCTGCCCTGACACCACTCCTGTGCAGCTGCACAGAAGCTAGACCAGGAAGCAGAACAATGTGAGAAAATTCGATCAGAAGTACAATATCCCCATTCTAGATAAGTTTCCCAATCCCATTCATCTCCCAACCACAAACAACAATTGTGCTGGCACGATTCAGAGCACAGTCCATGGGTGAGAACAGACGGCGAGGAAAAGGGGCTGTTCAGACAGCTCTGCCACCGGAATATTCAAATTACACCCTGGAAAGCTGTGAATTCAAAGTCCTCCCCCTACCCCCAGTACCACACAATCATCTTGCTGCAACACATTCCAGAGTTTTGTTTTGAAAGCCAATAAAGGAGGAAGATTCCAAGGAGGAAAGGACATTTACGAGGCTGACGCACAAGTTAAGGAACTTTGGTTGAATCCATTTTGGTTAAGTCAGAACATCCTGGGGGCAGCTGGAAGAGCTGCAAGAGGTGGATGCAGGGATCCATCCCTCACGGAACACTCAGCACAGCATCCACCATGGCACCTTCTACCAGCTACAGCAAGAAGATAAAAATTACTACAAAAAGAAGCCAAGTCTGATTTCTCTTCCTAAAACCTGCTAGTACTGGTTCTAAAGTTCTAAGCTATTTTTCTAAAGTATCTTTTCCATCCCTCTTCGATAATTTAGTCACCGTCTTACTAGAGTTATCCCTCGGATCACAGGAAGAAAAGACTCTGGTAGGGAAAAAGAAAAAATCACCTAACCCCACATTTTGCACCAGAATTCCCAGCAAACACAAGTGGATTACAGTCAGTTCACATTTATGCATGAAGAACGTTTGAGGTTTGGTTATATGACATTTTTAGGGCAAAAGAGCTATTTATCAGACTACCAACATTCTTCTCGTTGCTACCAAATTCCAGGATGTTTTACAGTCACTCCATTGTGAAAAGCAAAATCTGGGACATGAATAAAAACTTCTAACTGCACTTACTGCAGTGCAAAAATGCCATTTTATTAGTACTCACACATTATTGGGTAACTCCAAGTGAATGTATTAACGAAATTAATCCCACGTTTAATCAGATTTGGTACCTGACATCTGATGAACTGCTTTAATCACACGTTTTCACCACTGCCTGTTGCCAACGAAGATCCAACTTTGCTCTATTTGAATGCTGCAGATGATATTCAACCACAGGACAACCAGCCTCGAGGTTTTAGGTTTTATGCTCCAGTGATTTTTCTACTACATTACTAATCTGTATGCACATTTGGGTTGGTTTATTCCAAAAAAGACAGTGTGTTATGTAAAGATGGGAAAGGAACATACTACAGCCTAAATATTTTCAGCATGAAGTGATGCATATTTTTTTTATATCTCTATTAACCTCTTAACAGGAGATGCCATCCTTCTGCAATGGTTACAAAGCATTTATTAATTGATTATACATTATTTAATATTGACTACACATTAAAAGACTGGTTTTAGTCCTTCCCACAAGTCAGCTCATCAGAGTCCGTGGGATGAGCTCCGGCAAAAGTCCTTGGAATCCACACTTCCCATTTCTTTCACTTTCAACAGCCATAACCAATATGTAAAACATTTAGAGATCCTATGGCAGAGGCCTGTAAGTTAAGTACAGTTTCACTATCATTTCAAGCCAATATAAGCTGCTGAAAGAACCAGTCCCACCTTCCCCCAAGGCCAGTTTCCACATGTCCCTTCCTTGAGTCAGCATGAGCCATTCATGAAGACCCACAGCAAACACAGGACACTCACCCCATTAAAAATCAACATTTCTCCTCCCCTTTTCCTTTGGGAAAGGAGAAGGGAGAAGCTGAGTTAATTTTAACGTGATCAGTTCCCCACTCCAGCTCACTGTGGCCACGTCAGAGTTGGCGTGAGCAGAGCCACAAGGAAAAGAGGAGCACGCAACTGCCTGAACCGTGCACGTGGGAATTCATTCTGGCTGGAGCCGCTGGTGGAAACACACCTACAGGGGCAAAAAACTGCAACATGAAGTATTTAGATACTCAAAGAAAATATTCCCTGTCCCAAGGTAGGCATAAATGAAAAGAAATTACTCAAATGAGTTATCGGAGCAGAGTTTACATTATTGACTCACGCTGCGGGGTGAGTTTATATTACCCACTCACACTCACCTGAGGTGTGGGGGCTTTTAGAGTTTTGTTTAACTTTTTTTTATGACAATATGAAAACAAAACTCTTAACTGAGATGGTGGTGCAAGCCAAAACTTTTAACACATGGCGCAGGAACAGGCAGATGACATAACTCAGCCTGTCCAGAGAAGGGGAGAAAATATACCAGAAAAAAAAAAAAAAAATAACGCTACTAAAAACTCCAGTCACTGGGGTTCCAAACGTAACTTCGCTGGTTTTTAATCGCTGCACGCAGGCTCTGCTACTTTAACTCCAACAAACCAAACTTTCTGTGTCAGGAACCCCAGTAACTCGGCAGAGCTCCCCAACCTGAGCTCCCCCCAGCACAGACCCATCAGCGATGGCTCCCAAGGCCGGGATCGCCAGCCACAGGCACAGGAATGCGATTCAGAGCAGAGGGACTGGCCCCAGTTCAACCTGGGGCTGGATTCCACCCGCGGGGCGGCCGCTGCTAAAAGCAGAGCAGTTAGAAGAAACTACTCGCTCTAACACACCCTCATCGTAAATGCATATTTGTGGTTGTCTCAACTGTGTTCAGACCTTTCCCTTTATCTCATCAGTTGTACTTGTACCCTGAGCCAGAGCACTTGTCCACGGGATAAACTTATCTGTATCTATCTAGGAAAAAAAAAAAGGTAAACTGGAGCGTGTTCTGATCAGTCAGAGAACCAGTCATACCTTTTCCCAAATCCAGCTAAAATCATACTCACAAATCACTTCACTATTCATCCTCAAGAAGTATATTCATTGCTTCTAAAGTTTAAATTGCATTTCAACTTATCATCTCCTTGATCTTTTGTTGTGACAAAATATGAAAAGCAAAACTTGCTTTAACCTCTGTATAACCCTTCTCTGCGTTATACACCTCTGTCGTGGCATCTCGCTTGGATCAAGCAGCTCATGGTGACCACAACATCCTTCCCTCGACCGCTTCCAGCTCTGAACCCACATCTATGCACCGGAAAAAAAAAATACACTCTTGATTAATCAGTTTGAGACTCTTTTCCAACCTGAAACACTCAATCATTCCATGAAATACAAAAAAATAAAAGAGAATTCACAGTAGGATTGGGCGGCTCAAAAGTCCTGTTCAATTAACAAGCCCTTGAAACAATTTTGTGACTTACAGGGACCCTTTTTATTTTCAATGTGTTACAAACTAACAGTCCACACTTCCCAAATTTCCAGTAGGATAAATCATAACTTCAATGGGGTTTATCACTTGTATTTATAATTGAACTATGCTGTTCCAAAATACTCTTCCTACTGCTGGCACTAGGACTGAAACCAACTGGAACACATTGTGCTGGGTAACCAGAGAGCCTTGAGCCCCTCTAGTAGCATCCTAAAAATTACTTACAAGCTACCCGTGATAACTTTAAAGACAGAGACAACTACTCTGAGCAGTTTGAGAGCATCCAATATGCACTTTTATTCATTAAAGTATTTTTATTTCTCACGTATTCATCTCTTACCAATATATAACTCGAAGTTAACGACCATAGTACAGTTCTAAAACAAGTAAATCTTTCCTGTAACAACATTAAATTGGTTTAAACCTCCAGTTAAGGGTAATAAGAGACTTTCCACTTATTTCGTCGTATGGCCCCAAAATTGCTCCCCTCACCAGCTGTACTGTGGGCAGGTTATGTTAAAAAAACTACTAGTAAATTACTAACAGGTACTTCTAGTATCACAAACTAATAGTAGTGGCTTTTAAGTCTTTTAAACACGAGAAAATGAGTTAAGAACTCCATAGTACGTAACACTTGTCCTGATGGACTTACCCATGTTCATGTGTACTTGTCAGAGCTCAAATTCGGTATTACGAAAACAGAATTTAATTTAGTTTTAAGCCCACTTCATCCCCGCCGGGTCCGACTCCCCACAGACGATGCCGCTTTACCCCAGAGCACGGGGATAACGCCCGGAGATGCTCCGAGCTCCCGGCACCGGGACCCAGGACCCTCCGCTTCCCGGCCTTTGCGCCCGTTTTTACCCTAAACCAGGACATCTCGCCCCAAAAATCCGAACCGTCTCGTTCCACTGAACCGCGTTCCCGGGAGACTTTAATGAGCAGCTTTGGGGGTCCCCACCCGCCCGCGCTCCCCGTTAGTTCCCGCTCCAGGCCGGAGCGTGTCCGTCCCGCCGGCCCGAGCAGAGCCGGAGCCGAGCCGGGGCCGGCCGGGAGGGACCCCGGGAGGGACCCCGGGCGGGCCGCAGCCCCCCGCCGCCGGCCCCGCCGCCGGAACCTGTCGGGACACATTCTTGCGGCGGCCGCGGCCGGGCCAGGAATGCGGCCGGGGGAGCCGGGGCGGCCCCGCGCGGCCCCGGGGCCCCTCCGGACGCGCATCCCGGGGCGGGGGCGGCAGGCGGGCGATGCCCCGCGGGGCCCGGGGCGGCCCGGAGCGCGGGCCCGGCGGTACCGGCGCTGCCCCCCCCCTCCGCTTTCCCCCACAGCCCGCCCCGATCACTCACCCTTGGAGTAGAGCGACTTGGGGGACTCGAGGTCGAGGTCGGCGCTGAGCAGAGAGATGAAGTCCGAGGGCATCGCAGCTCCGCGGCCCGGCGGGGGCGAGGGGGCGGCGGGAGGAGGGGGGGGCCGGGCCGGGGGGGGCGCGGCTGCCTCCGCCGCGCGCGGAGCGGAGCGGAGACACGGGCCGGGGGAGCGCGCGGTGCGCACGGCGGGGCCGCGGTCGGCGGAGCGGGCGGGCGGGCGGGCGGTCGGGCCGGGGCTGCGGGAGCGGGCGGCGCTCGCAGGGCCGGTGTGCAGCGGAGCGCGCCCGACGCCGCTCCGAGCCCGCTGCGCCTGCGCAGGGCACGGGAGGGGCCGGCGGGGAACGGCGGCGGCGCGGGCGCTCTGCGCGTGCGTGAGCGAGGACGGGGACCGGCGGGGGCGGACCGGCCGCGCGTGCGCACGCGGGGGGTGCGGGGGAAGAGTCTGGAAGGGCGGGGGGGCGCGATGGACCCTCACGGGAGACCCCTGCGCTGAGGGGAGCCGGGGTGACGGGAGCCCCGCAGGGGAACCCCCGGGATCAGAGGATCCGGGAGGGCCCTTCAAGGGCAGCCCGGGGATGGACTCTGAGGGGAGCCCCCCGGGGCCCCTCAGAGGAGCTCTCAGAGCAACCCAGCGCGAGGGCAGCGGGCACAGACCCTCGGAGGAGCCCCCGCGGTGAGAGCGGCAGCACCAGGACCCCCAGCGGCCGGGGCTGTGTCCAGCTCTTCTCGCCCGGTGCTGGGGTCGTGAGGACACCCCGCGGGTCAGGGCTGGCTGTGGTGTCACCAGAGCTCCATCCACCCTCAGAGCTCTGCCGTGGAAACCCACAAGGCAGAGCTGGCAAGCCCACTGGTGGATATTGTCCCAAAAAAACCCAGCTATTTACAAATAAAATGAAAATGCAAAAGCAGTGTCAACAGCGCGTTATCATTGATACGGATGGCAGCTGCCTTAAGAAACAAGTGCCACACATCAGGAATCGGGAGAACCAGAGTACTGAGTTCTTGATAGTGAGTTTGGGACTCCCTTTCCCTGAAGGTATAAGAAAGGGGAGGAGGTGTGGAAAGGTGTCCCGCAGAGACGTACAATTGCTTTTCCACAGTGTCCAAAATCTGCTTTGAAAGTGGAGAAGGGATGGGAAAGCAAGAGGGGTTGTGTGTGAGTGGATGGAGGTGCCAGGCGAGTGCTTAAGCTGTGAAAAATGGAGGCGGAAGGAGCTGTGAACAGCTGCCGCGTGCCTCCGGCGCCGCACAGGGTCCAGTTTCCCTGGGACACCAAAAGGTTGGCTCCTGTCCCTCCTGCTGCCAGCTCCTTGCCAGTCCGCTCTCAGATCCCACTGAAATCTCCCTGTTAAAACGCTCAGTAGCTTCCATGCACTCGCTGCAGCCCAACAGTGAACAACCCTTGAGGCATCATGCCCTGCTGGTCAGGCGGTCACTGTGGGATGGCCACACTGGTGTCCTCACCAAGCACTCGGTCACTGTCCCACGCTTGTGACACCACTGAGTTGGTCCCTGGAGCACCAGCTCTCTGTTCTGCCATGTTACCCTGTTCTGCTGCATCCCCTGTCCTGCAGTGCCCGTGGTGTCAGGGTGGGACACACATGGTGTCCGTGTCTCACAGCCATAGCAGAGCAGTGGCAGCTGCACGGTGCGTGGTTGGTGGCATTTGAAGTCGGTTTCTCTTTCATCCCAGACAAGCTGCTTTAATTCCTGGAGCTGCCCTGGCTTTTCGTCTCCTCCACCTGACTTCATTGATGGTGTGGCAGAAGGGCACAGGACTCAAACCTGACAACTTCAAAAGGAAAGGAGGATTCACCTGAGCCAGGCAGGGATTGCCCTGCCTTGCAAGGGAGGGAGCAATGTCTGTCCATGAGGAGAGCGAGAGCTACTGCTATGCTGTCACTACCAAACTGAATTGTTTGGGGAGCATCCAGGGAAAACAATGTAAGACTGTGCTATACTCACCTCCTGTCTGAGTGATGAGGGAGACAGAGGCTCTTGGAGAAGGTGACACCACCAGATGGGCTGTGATGAGGAAGGAAAACAGATCTTAGTCCTGAAAGGGAAGTGGCTGAGAGAGCACTCTGAGAGACGAAGTGCTCCGGGATGGAGCAATTCAGGATAGATAAAGTGCCTTTGGGAGGCATTTATGGCTGGGCAATGAAACAACAGCACTGAAAGCCCGGCCACTGCTGGCCCAGCAGCAGCAGCTCCACGACAGCTGCTGGAGCGTGTTTGGCTGTAAAGAGCTTTGCAGAGTCCTGGGAAGGGGAGCTGGGAGAACACCCTGATGCTCCCGGCATTCCAAGACAGGGAGGCTATGGGCAAAGGCCAAATCTGGAAAAAGAATTAATAATTCGGCTTTTTGGGAGGATCAAACAGTCCTGGACAATTACAATTTTAAAGGACTAAGTAAGTGATTAGTCAGTCCAGCAGAGAGCAGCAGGACTGGAGGGAATAACCACACTGAGGGAGGTCAACAAAGCACATGGTTTCCTGGGATCCAGTCAGAGCCATAAAACTCCTCTTGTGGGCCCCAGAACATGGAAAAGCCGTGGGAGCAGGCTGCAGTGGTTCTATGTCATTGAGGTATTTTCTCTTTATTATAAAGTTCCTCTTCCTGCAGAAGCAGCCGGAGAGCGGCAGGTGTGAGGGGGAAGGAGCCTAAAGTGGGATCGTGGGGACAAATTAGCAGGTGCCTGCAGAATATCACTAACCCCGTCTGTGATTCCGGAGCCTACGTAGGTGTTTTATTTTCTAACCGTGTTAGAAAGACTGTCAGAAAATAATTAGGCTCTGTCAACAGTTCCCCTATTCCCAGATTACTTACGACTTCCTGACTCATTAGAGCTGCCGAGGCTGGCAGGAAACCTGTTTTGTAGTAATTTTTGTTAGTAGTGTCCCTGGAGGAGAGACAACACGGTGAGGGTGACACCAGCGTGTGACACCAGCGTGTGACATTGGCGTTGACTTCACCCTCGTGACGGAGGCGCTGGGGTTGTGCAGGGTGGTTACTGCTGGCAGGAGACACCATCCCCCTCTGTCCCCGTCCTGGTGACAGGGAACAGGACACTTGGCTGCAGGGCCAATGCTGGGCAAGGTCCAGCTTTAGGTGCACGGGATTTGCTGGTGTCTGAAAATGTTCCTGGTTCGTGAGGGTTTTTAAACACAGAGGGGACATGTAAATCCCCTCAAATGGGTCTTTCCATTTAATCCTGGAATAAAGCCACCATAGCCTCCCTGTCCTGGAGAGTGCAAATACAAGTTGGCTGTGTCAGGATTATTCTGGGGCCCATTGGCCCCTGAATTTTACCATCTCTGTCTCAGGCACCCTGAAAATCCTCCTCAGTGCTCAGAGAAGCAGGACCACATGCAGTACTGACCCTGCAGCACTTGGAAGTAGATTTAAAAATAGTTCTGAAATCTTCTGTTTATTTCTCTGATTTTTGGATCCAATTCCTCTAGATCAAAGATAAATAAAGTTTACAGTGAGACAGTGCTTGCCAAGAACACAAGGCCCAACCTTCCTCCCCAAAACTTGCACTTCCCACTCAGTTCATGCCCTTTTTCCCTACATTACCTCAGCTGAAATACAGGACCAAAGCAGATGTTCCCATTGATTTTCCATGCCCTTTTCCCCAGTCAGCACCTTGCTGACCTCCTGCTCCCTCCTGTGAGGTTCCGACCAGGAACTGCTTCCCTGAGGCTGCTGATGGTACTGTGAGATCCATAATTAGGCAAATTTTAAGAGCCTGATTCTGCTGACAGCCACGGGAGTGGGATGTTACACCCTTTTATAAGCAGACATGCAAATAAGAGACAAATTCTATGGTCTCTATGTCATCTCTCCATTGAAAACTACCCCCCTACACACTTCTCGTGGAGGTGTGAACAACACACCATGTGGCTTGTTCCAGAGAAAACCCATGCCCATGGCTGCTCTGCCACTTGCTCATGGCACTTCCTGAGAGGTGATTTGGATTATCAGGGTGATGTAGGGAGCTGCCTTGCTGCAGTTTTTGAAACTCTCATTGTAATTACAGCATGGAATATTGTATGGAATCAGGAGCTCTTAGTCCCAAACTGCTGCTTCTTCAACACCCACAGGGACCATCAGGTCACTCAGCCACACATGCTGCTCATGAACCTTGGCACAGGCTCAGCACCAACTTCTGCCAAGGAAAAGATTTGTCCTCTACCAACAGGAAGGCAAATCCCTTGTCTGCCATAGCTCACCAACGCTGGATATTTGAGCCCTGTAACATGGGGGTTACACACCCCAGGGTAACAGGGATGGAGTAACTAAACATCCCACACTTGGGGGAAGACAGGATCCTGCACCTGTTTGTTGTACACGTTTATTGAACACAGCAAACACATAGCCTGGCACTCCCTGCCAGGCAGACAATCTCCAGGTACAAGAAATGGCATTTTGTGGGTGCTTGCATTACAGAACATGCACCAACTCCCCCCAGGAACACCCTCAGACCTCCCTCCTCCACAAACCTTCAGCCCAATTAACAGTTACATTCTGCGTCATCGCGGAACTCGGGGTGGTGGAGAGGCAGAGAAGGCTGGCACTGCACTCCCTGCAGCCCTGCCACGCTCACATTCACCACAGGAGCTGCCTCTGTGCCCGCATTTCCAGCTCCTCACTCAACCTCTCCTCCGCAGCACCTGAAGGAAGCGGAGCACAGCCCAGATTGAATTCCACCCACAGAGGTTTCTGCGAGGTGAAAGCTGAGACAGCTTTGTCCCGGCATTGTGCGCAGACCTGGCGGCAAACACGGGGACAGAGCCTGGCAATTGCCTGTTTTAATCCTTAAACAAAATGAGTAAACAAGCCTTGTTATGCCTCCCTTGCTGCCCAGGCGGTTTCACACCTGCGGGACCCATCCTTGAGTCCTTGAGCCAGCCAGAACAGAATGAGAAGAGGCAGCTTCACCACCACACCAGAGAACACCCAGGAGGCACTGGGCTCACTCCAACCCGCCTCCATCCCAGAAATTCTGCCCTTTGGCATTAATAGAGAAGTGAGAAGACTTCGATGTGGCTTCTGCAAATGCATCTCAAGCACCCTGAAGTCTTTGAAGAGCTGGCACATGTGCAGACAGAGGCTACTTGGAGTTCCACAAGGCACTGGATAAAGATCTTACCAGCTCCAAGAAGCCTTGGAACAAGCCTGAGAGTCTCCCCTGGGTAATTAATCCATTAAGAGGAAAAAAAGTTTCTATAACATCGGAATTGACAGTCAACTTCCCCAATAGCAGAGGGTCAAGAGCTGATAGCAAGTGTCAATGATGGAAAGAAGTTATTCAGAGCAACCAAAATGAATGTAGACAGTGCCAGGAAAACGGTATTTTAAAAAAAGTCAAAAGTCAGGTAAAAGTGCTGCCTATGAAGAAAACAGGTGTGTTTCCAGCATCACCCCTGCCCTGTTCCTCAGGTGAGCCTGGTGCTCCTGGATCCAAACCAGGTGACCTTTGTGGACTCTTGCACTGCCCTGAACAACCCCAGCTCAGCAGGGTGATACTGTTGCCAACATGTGCCTTCCAGCTTCAAAACCTTTCCCTAATATGGAACTCTAAACTTCCCCAAACTGAGATCATGGTTCACAATTTTGTGTTAAATGTGAAGGCAGCCCTGGCAGTGCACTTACTCCAAGTTCCCTGGCCTTTGGTTTTAAAAAGCAGAGTGTAATTCCACATCCAAGAATTTCTTCTACACAATCTTCTGGAGGACACGGTACTTTTGTGGAAGAGAGAAGAATCCCCACAACCCATGGGAGGTTTTCACAGCAGGACCCCAGGTTATCACTGCCATTTTTGCTGCAATCCCAGAGGATGATCAGCTCTGCTGGAGGTTTGGATTGGGAGCCAGTGTCGACGGCAGGGCAGGGCACCAGGACATCGCTTCCCTTTAGGAGATCCCAAAGCCCCAGATCAAGGGGCTGGAAGAGCTGGAAAGGTTCCTGCCTCAGCACAGGAAGCAAACTGTGCACTGTCTGCACTTCAAGGCCAACTGCACAACACACAAAAACAGGGCAAGATGGAAATACTCTTCTCTATTCCCAGCCAAAACAATCATTATCCACAAATCCCAAATGCTTTTCTTTTCCCTTTTCATTTTGGGAGAAGAGACCAGATTTAATTGTTTCCCCCATCTGGTGCACATTCACAGTACGTAAGAATGAGTTTAGTTTCCCATACATGTGTCAGATCATGACCTCAGGGAGAAAGAAGAATCTGCATTTCCAGAAGCCACATGCCAGTTCCCAGTGGCTCTGCCACGCACAGCACGAAAACACCCAAACCAACCAGGATTCAATATAAGTTGTTCACAGGATATACATTCCAAAGGGACAAGTACAAATATTACAAAATGAACAGAATCACTTTTAAAATCCATGTATTTGTTTAACCGTTAAAAACAGACAGGTACAGAAAGAGGTGGCCAAACCAACAATTCCCTGCCGCTCCAATTAGTGTTGCCTGCACGCTCCGGGGGATGTTCTTGTGGAACCAAAGCTCTGGACATCTTTTCTGGCAAGGGCTGGAGACAACTGGCAGATGATTCCCGACTGTGTGAAGGGCTGAGGCAGAGCCACAGGCCCAGGGCAGCTCTTTCATGATGTCTGGCTTAACGCAAAGGCATTGAGAGAAAAGGTGCTCTGGGGGTTATGTCAGAGAGCGAGAGAGAGCGAGAGAGAGCGAGCACGAGGGACACCACACCAATGCCAGGGAATACTGGAAGTTTCTCTTTCCCTGCCACTGCAAGAAGGAAGCACGACAGATCTGTGGGTCCCAGAGTTAGGATAGAGTTTGGAATTAGCTTGGTCCCATGGATATCAACATCACTTGACAGACTCAGAGCTAAAAGCAAGGCAGGAAGGCTAAGGGCAGCAGAACTCCACGTGTTGCACACACACACTCTCTCTCCCTCTTTTCAGGCTGTCTGAGGCCCCAGCAAGGCCAGCTCAGGAGCTTTTCCCATCCACCATGTAATAGCGATACATTAAACCTAAGACCAGTGCTCCGAAGATGGGGATCAGCCATGTCGACCAGAAACTACGGGGAGAGAAAAAGAAACAACAAACTAAAACGTACACACCACAGAAACCAGAAGCATCTAGTTAATAATCCATTCCCAGTGTTCAGCCCTTGTTACACGTGCAGGGAACACCTGGGAGCTGTACCCACAGGTTGGCCCCTAACCATGGCCACATGTGCACAGGCTCTGCCAGCCCCCAAGTGTGGCCTCGTGCCTTATAAAACAGCAGCTGGATGGCTGAAATTTCCAGCTTGGCACATCCAGAGACCAGTGCGGGGGGTTTGTTGTTGGTTTGATTTTCCTTAAATAAGTCAGGCTGTAATTCGTGTTGTACAAACAACACAGCTGACTCAAGGATGGCAACGGCTACAGCTGTGCCCCAGTAAATCTGCCTTGCCCAGACTCCAGAGACCACAAGCTCACCCTGAGCAGCCTCCTGAGCAAAACCTCCTGCACGAGCTGCAGGAGACCAGGGCCCTTTGCTGGCTTTAAGCATTTTCAACCAGACAAGGCTGATCACGGTAAAATCCTCTGAAAATCCAGCCATCATTGTGTTGTGCCACCTCTCGGCCCACAGCGAGCACCCAAATAACCCCTGTGGTGACAGGGCTGCAGCCACTGCCGTGCAACACCAGCACACGGGGCAGAGAATTCCAAACACTGGGATGCTGGTCCTGCCCAGCACACAGCAGATCCAGGCTCACATCCAGCAAGGGAGGTGCACACTCTGGCACTTGCTTTGGAGTATCTGCTTGCCAGAAGGACACTGCAGCACATCCCCGGGGATTGTCCTGCCCTTTGGAGTTAATATGCTGCTCTACAAACAGGATCCCAACCCCTCCATTTCTCACCCTTATTTTCAGGAGATACTATACCTTGTTTGGCCTGAGGATGTCCTACTTGGATTCTGGAGGAGGAAAGAGGGAGTTAGCAGGGGAACAAAGAAACATTAAACATGTGCTAGAAAGACAAGCCTGAACGTGTGATTACAAATACAGAGGGAAAATAACCCTCCTCTCCCAAACACCCCCTGTCACCACTGTAGATGTTCCTGGGGATGTTTGCTGTCATCTTCATGTTCTTTACATCAATCCAATCTGTCCCACCCAGTCATCAAATTCATGCTAGAGCTTGCACCCCTCTCAAAATAAGGCCTTGCTTATTACATCACAGTTTTGGGGTGGTTTTGTGCTTGCTCCTTATTTATTTGTACATTATTGATTCCCTCTCTTGCTGCCATCTTTAAATTATACTGGAACCTCATTTTAAAACAGATTATGCCCTCTGGAGAAAGCCATCAGCTGTGCATAAAGTGCTGGACTTAGTGATCAGAAGAGAAAAATACTTGAATAAAGTATTTAACTCAGATCTAAGGGAGCTACTCTGATCATCACTGATTTCTGTGCACGTTTTCAGCATATGATTGTGTTCATGAATCGGAGCTGAATCAAACAATAAATTTTAAGATGAATATGTACATAATCACATAGCTCCACGTCATAACTAAGTATAGGCTTTAACCAGCCTGAGTTATCGTTGATTTCCATGCTGACAGTTCCCTTCTGCATTCCTGCTACTCTGCAAGTGGTCCTGCTCAGAGGAACATCTCCTGAAAGTCCTATGAAGGCAGAGCTGTGCCCTGTCCAGGCCTCCCAGCCCAGCCAGCTGTGAGGCACATGTTTACCTCCCATCACTGGGATTCTATTTATTGCCTTTTCCCTCTCCCCATCTCTTCCAAAGGCATTTTTGCAACACTCTGCCCTGTTCTAGTCCAGGAGTACCTGAGTGTTAAGCAACACCACTGATCCCTGAGGCAGTTAACAGAGAATTCCTGTTTGCCAGCTGGCCCCCGGCCGTGCTGTCTCCTGGCTCGAAGGGAACAACAAGGAAACCAGTTCCGTGGTCAGCACACAGCCAGAAATGCGAAAAATGGTCTGTGGCTCAAGGTGTGGAAAAAACATCGCTGCTGCCAGCAGAGTAAGGGCACAAAAACTCACTTCCAATTTCACACTGAGGTGCCCACTGAGCTTCAGAACAAAAACAAAGGTAGAGTTTGCTTGGGAAATTTATTCATGTGTAGTTTGCGTAAACACAAAGCCACAAGCCTCACAGGAAAAAAGAGGGGGAAAGAAAGAACCTCCAAAAGACATGTGACACTAAACAAAGGCAGAAAACTGAAATGCTGAGAGCTTACCTTAGAACCTTCCTTTCCACGATCGTTCTGTCAGGGGGAAAAAGAAGAAAAGAGGTGAGTGCTGACTTCAAAGGAAGGCTGCAGCCTTTATGAGGGAATTGTTCTGTACAAAGGTAATTGCCTAGGCTCAGTTTTCAAAGGAGTCCTTCCTTTGGCACCCAAAGGCAGGCAGGAAGGTGGTGTTTGTGCCCCTGGGAACTCTCACCCTCCAGAGCTCAGAATTGCAAGGCAAAGATGGATTATGCTTCCACCAGCTACAGAGGGAACCCATGAATTCAGCTTAAGTGCCCCGATTAAAATGAAGTGAGAAATCTGTTCTGAATGGTGGAAGGAGAAGATTAATTTAGTTCAGATTCCCCAACAGAAGCCTTGGACAACACAGGGACTGCCTGAACCCCCTCAACTATTAATTTATATTACAAGACACACCTTGGTGTCTCTGTTTGGGGGTTTCACAAGGCACTCACCGGGTGCACCTCTCCGATGTAGTACTGCTTCAGCATTTCCCTGGCGTCTGTGGAATGCCCCACATCTTCAAAGCTCTCAGTGGCATCTCTGCCAGCTTGCTCAAGCAACACCTCTTCTCCACCTGGGTGCTGGAAGAGGAGAGTCCAGGTGAGCCAAGGGCTGGATGCACAAAGGCACCGAGGATGTCATCAGCCTTCCTCCCAGGCTGCACCGCTGGATGCCTCAACCAACACCATCAATAAAATCTGCCACACGTTCCATTGTCCAGCCTCTCCTCAGGAATTCACAGGCACCAGTGGAGGGAAGGATATTCTGCTTCTTCAGGTACTACAAAAACGCTGTTTGGCTGACTCTGCACATGGATGTGCAATTCTAAACTTGATCCTGTGTGCAACCACCAGTGACATGGGGGAAGGAAATCACGAAGTATCACAAAAATTGTACTGTTTAATGTCATATACATTTCGGAGATGCAGAGCTACAGCACCCCAGGGAGCTGCACAGTGACAGTGCCACTGCTGTGGGTGGCAGCTGGTCAGGGCTGACTCAGACGGGATGAACTGACACAAACCCCGGGTGTGGTTCTGTTGTCTGTCGTGGGCTGGGCTCTGTCCACAGTCAATGCCACAATTCCAGGAACAGCGTGGCAATGGAAAGCACTAACCACAGACCTAGCAAAGGACAATCCCTTTACAGCCTGAGTGTCAACCACCAGCAAATCCAGTTATACCAATAAAGTGGTCACACATCCCAGGGCACGCACAGGGACTAACCCAGTTTTCCAGGGTTTCAGACAGCCAGCCCTGAATTGGAGAAGAGACGTTAGACTACATTTCAGATCAAAGGACCAACACACCTGCTTCTCCCTCTGTCATATCCTTCTCCTTCCCACAGACACAAAGCAGTTGTCATCCCCCCTTCCTTCAGTTTGTCTGCTTTTGCTGCCAAAAATCTGAATATTCCCACCAGGCCATCCCACCTCGTATCAAACACAGATGGACACAAACCAGACCCATTGTTTGCTCCAGTGGGTTGCTGCAGCCAATCCTGTAATCCTCGTATCACAGCTCTTTATTTGGAATAAATCCCTTTATTGTCCAGGTATGTCACTAAACCAACATGGAGCCTTCTCAGGAGCCACAAAGGGAAAAGTTTGTCAGCAGGCAGGTATCAGGTGGCTGAGCTCCATGGTTCATTCCCTGTGTCCAGCTGCAGTTCTTCTGGCTGCCCCTTCTCCCAGAACAACCCTCAGGCTCATTCGATCCCAGAGAAGTCAGATCAGGTTCTGCTGGGTGTTGTCTGTTCACATTGCTCAGAACAACTGTCCAATTTCCAGCCAAGATCCACTGAAAAGCTGCCCATTTATCTAGAAGAACTCCTTAGGGCTGCCTCACCAGAAATCTCATATTTCAGACAAGGAAATACCTGAATTTTAAGCAGACAACCTTCCTTTTCTAATAATTCACCCTAGAAAGATAGACAAAACCCTGCAACAAAAAGGAATGTGCAGTGGATCTTTCAGTGACATCCAGTCTCTCCACAGGCAAGAGACAAGAGGAAGGATAAAATTCAAAAGAGAAGGAGAGCAGTAAAGTTCACTCTTCTTTAAATCTCTGGTTCCGAAGCCTTTCTATGCACTTGCTAAATCCACAATTAGTTATTCATGCACATCTGTCTTTTGCTGCTATCTGAAAGCCTAAAAGAAAAATACCTTCAAAATATTTTGGCATCTCCTATTTCTGAAGGGTTCTGTCCTGCAGACAGCACTGCTGTAGCCAGACAATTCCTACCTTGTCCTACCCCAGTAAATGTAAACTCAGACTATTTGTACAGGAAGTCATTGACTCTGCCACAAAACTGCCCAAATCTGCAGCTCAGCTGCTGCAGGAAAACATGGAAACGGTGTTGCAAACTATGAGGGGGGGAAAAACTACTTCCAGGGGAAACAATGGCTGGAAAATGTCCGTTTCTGACAAGAAACAGCCAAAAGGCAAACAACAAACCAGAAGGAGAGAGGTGACAGTACCATTGTGTCCTCTGTGTCACTGGACCTTCAGCACACACAGTAACAGTGACTTGGAACTGGCAACAAAGGCTCTGAGAGCACATCCCAAACTTCCACAGGGAGAGAACTTGGAGTCCCCTCCCCACAAACTCCAAGGACCTGTCTGCAAATGTCTGCCTGGGAACTGCTGGTACAGACCTGCTGGAGACACAAACGAGCTCAGCAGCAACACTAAGCTCCAGGAATAATGAGATCACTGTGTCAGGTAAGAGTTAAGATCACCAGGTTGAAGAAGGGTGAAACTTTTCATTCCTAGTGCCCAGAGTTAACGAAATAAACCAGGAGAGAGAAGAGTAATAATCATGTGCCAGCATCATCCAAGCCAGAACCAAGGAGGAGCAGTCCCCTGGATGAATGATCTGCACAGAGCTGGTTGTAAGGCATGGAACAGCTTTTCCAAAAACACCTCTGCAAAGCTGGAGCAAGTCAGCACGAGGAAACTCAGATGCCTGGTGCTCTTCCTTCTCTTGAAGAACACTACACCTGAAACCAACTGAGCGATTTGGGTCAGTGGTGTCACAACCCAGGCTCCTTCACTTGGAAACTGGAAATGGATTCCTGCTCACACTTATCACGGGGATCAGGAAGAGCAGCATGGGCTGGGACTCGGAGCTGTGGGGGCTGCTGTGCCTTGTGGGCTCAGGTAACAAGAGCTTCCTGGAGAAACGTGCACCTCCAGACTCTCCTACTCATATGTGAAAATGGAGAGAGACTGTATCCCTCCAGCAGAACTGCAAATAAGGCTCTTAAAGATTGTGCACAAGTAAAAGCTCAGATTTTGATATAGTTGTGGTGAAGTGTGAGCCTGACAGAGCCCAGAGCACCTGCAGGAGGTACAGCTGCCTCCCTCCACCCCCTTTCACCCCCAGCACACAGCCCTCCTGCTCCAGCCACAGCCTGCATGTGCTTTTCTAGACCACTGCAACCAGGAGTAATAACAGGTATCCTGGCGTGGTCCAGTTACCCAGATTTGGGAGAAAATAGATCATCATAAGGCTCTCTTAGATTTTAAAATAATCCCATTTCATTTCAGGCACTCACAGGCTCTCTGAAGCAAAGGAGATTGCTTCTCCCAGAAATACTTGCAACACTTCAGTTGCTGTCTTTGCACATCTCCTGGTTTTGGTTCATGTTCTTATAATTCAATCAATTTTGTTATGTGATAGATGTCTTATTACTCCTGGTACATATAATGTGAACTGGAAACTTAAACTGCTCTACACTTCCAGCAGCACATGGATTTCAGGTTGGCTGACCTGCATCATTTGCAGGAATCCTGAGGCCAAATTCAGCCTTCCAGCGGTGACTTCTTCAGGATTGCACAATCCCACCCATGGAACGTGCCAGTAGCCTCAGCAATGGCAGCCAAACAATTTGTGAGCAAAGGCCAGGAAAGGCACCCAGCAGATCCTGCTCCAGTGACCTCACGGGGCTGGGGGGACACAGGAGAGGACACCCCGAGTGCTGCAGCTGCACCACGGAGAGCTCTGCAGCACCAGCTCCCCAGAAAACTGCAACTTTCAAAGTACACAAGCACTCCTGGTTCCCATCAGCTGCACGTCATTCCCTGGCACTCCAGAGGATAACAGATATAAAGAGGATTTTTGCCAATAAATTAGGCCTTGATCTACAGTTCCCCTGTGCCAGCAAGGGGTGTGCACAGCACAGTGTTGTGTCAGCCTGGCACAGCTCAACAGTGCCCTTATTCTTCTCCCTCTTCCTCGTCCAAGTAGGTCTTTTTATGTCAGAAAAACACAAATGGGAAAAAGGACCTGGAAAGGACAGAGTGAAATATCATCTCAGGGTGAAACACCATCTCAAGGTGACACTCAGGGCACTGCTAAACCTGGCCTGCTGGAGGGACTGGAGTGTTTTTCTGGGCTCACTTATAATTCCAAAGGTGTCGCAGGGAGCAGGTCCCAGACTCCATCTTACAGAGAACATCGAGCTGAAGACTCAACTTCCCTGCAGTGTCCACAGTGCTCTGAATCACAGCACAGACACAAGTGTAAGATAAGATTCTCAGCTCCTGCAACTGCTGTCCCAAGCTCTAGCTCGTTCTGGCTCTTCCTAAACCCTAGCCTAGCATTTTCTTATTCAGAAACAAGCAGTGAAGTATTTTTCTAAGTTTTTGCCTGGTTTTCCCCTGCATCCACTTAGCCTTTGTGCACCCACAACTCCCTTCCACCAAACTGTCCTGCTTCCACTTTACACATTTCATCCCACCAAGCTGCCCTGCCTGGAGAAAAGGAGGCTCAGGGGGGACCCTCTGCCTCTCCACAGCTCCCTGACAGGAGGGGACAGCCCCAGGACGGGCTCTGCTCCCAGGGAGCAAGGACAGGAGGAGAGGAAACAGCTTCAAGTTGTGCCAGGGGAAGCTCAGATTGGCTATCAGGAGGAATTTTGTCATGGAAAGGATTGTTCCTTGGAAGGGGCTGCCCAGGGAAGTTTGGAGTCCCATCCCTGGAGGTGTCCAAGAAGGCCTGGACATAGCACTGAGAGCTCTGGGTTGGGGACAAAGAGGGGATCGGGCACTTCTTGGACTCATGGTCTGGGAGGGATTTTCCAGCCTGGACAATTCTGTGATTCAGTCATTTTCTGCACCCAAAGAAGAAACCAGATTGTGTCCAACTTCAGAATTAAATACTGAGAGCTGCAGAGAAAGGCACAGCCTCCAGCTGCCAGGTGATCACTCCCTCCTGCCTGATGCACCTCTACCCTTGCCACGGCAGCTCTGTCACTCCACAGCACACAGGCTTCAACCACGTGGGCCTGGAGGGAAACCAAAGTTAAATTCAGACCAGCAGAACCAACAAGCTGGAACATGTGCATTTCAATGAAGTGTCTTCTCTGGAGCAGGTTCAACTCAAACTTTGTACATTGCCCTGCAAATGCCACAAAGTCTTTGCTGTTATTTTCAGCTGGAATAAGCCCCATTGAAATTTTCACAGAACCACAGAATAGCCTGAATTGGAAGGGACCCACAAGGATAATCGAGTTCAACTCCCAGCTCTGCACAGACACTCCAGCAATCCCACCCTGTGCATCCCTGGGAATTTTGTCCAAACTCTCCTGGAGCTCTGGCAGCCTCAGGGCTGTGCCCATTCCCTGGGGAGCCTGGGCAGTGCCCAGCACCCTCTGGAGGAAGAACCTTTCCTGATCTCTACCCTAACCCTACCCTGGAACAACTTCATGCCATTCCCTCGGGTGTTACTCTTTTGTTACTGTTTATTCCCGCTTCATTTCCAGCTCTCAACAGTTAGGACACCACTCTCAACCTTCTCAAAAAAAGAAGACATGAGAAGACAGTGACTCTTGAAGGAATTTTTGTCCCCAGAGCAAGGGAACTGGAGATTTGGCAGAAGCTGCATTGTTTGCAAAGCCCCGGTGCGTGGTCCCCGCTGGGCAGGCAGCAGAGTGGTGGCTGAGGTATCACTGTCACCTCCTCCTCCTGCGAGTTCTGGGGTGCCCCCGCAGACTTCACAATCAAACTGCTGAAGTGCCCCAATCCCGTGCACCCTTCAGGATGCGGAGTGAGGCCCCGTGACTGAAGGAAACCTGCACCTCCCCGGGACCTGCCTGAACAGATTCCCTGGGAAACCTGGAATTGCCTCAGAGCAGCCCAGCACAACCCCTGTCTCCGGCTGGCCGCGGCCACCGTGACCTGCCATCCCGCCCGTCCCTTGGAGGCAGAACCGCGGCCATGAGGCCCCTTAGAGCCCGCACAGCCCGGGCCGGGGAGCGGCCCCAGGGACAGCGGGACCCCCCAAACCCCGGCGGGGCCTGCTCGCCCCCTCCTCTTGCATCCGACCCCGGGATCTCTGTCCCCCACGGCAGCCCTGGATCCTCCAGGGCCCTCCCCGCCCCTCTCGGCCTCACACGACTCCCCAGCCTCTCCCTGCTCTCCTCAGCTCCAGGGGCCGGGCCGGGCAGCCCCCACTCCAGGCCTCACCTCCGCCAGGAACCGGGTGACATCGTATACGCGCCCGTGGATCACCAGCCAGGCTTCACGGCTGGAGTTCCGCTTCGCCACCTCCTCCAGGGTGAAAACGGGTGCGGGCCCATCCCCCGAAGGCGCCGCCGCCGCTGCCTCTCCGTGCCGCCCGCCCTCCATGCTGCCCGGAGCGGCTCCGCGGAACGCGCAGCTTGACCCGCGCCGGCCGCCGTAGCGATGGCAACGCCCCGCGTGCTTTCCGTTCTGCCCGGGGCCAATGGGAAGTAAGGCAGACGAGGGCGCTGCCGGCGCAACCAATGGGAGCGCGCGGCGGCGGGCGTGGGCCAATGGGGAGAGGCCGGGACGAAAGGCGGGAAATGGCGCGCGAGCGTCGCCGGTGAGGCGGCACCGGGAGCGATCCCCGCAGCCCCGGACACCCCCTCGGGCCCGCTCCTCCCTCAGCCCCGGAGCCCTCAGTCCCTGCTCCCTTCAGCTTCCATTCCCCCAGTACTGGCTCCAAGCCCTGCTATCCCCGTGCCACCAGAGAGCACGGTGCCCGTCAGCAGCCTGCCTCAGCTTTTCCACTGTTCCTTTTGGTCCTTCCTGTGTGTATATAAAATAGATGTGATCCCACAGCCCTTTGAACCGAGCCGGTGGCAGTGCAGTGCATCCCCGGGTCCTGACTTTTCCCAAGTTCCAAAGTGAAGTTCACATTCAGGCCTGACAAGAAGCACTGAGTAATTCTCTCCTCCCTCCAGCCATGTTGAGCAGGTTCAGGGTCAGAGGCCGTTCAGAAGCTCAGGGATCCGAGTAACTCATGAACCAGATGGTTTCCCTTTATGAACTGGCATTTGTGGAATTTATTTCCTTGCACTTGTGGCACAGGTACAAGGCTGTGGATGTTTGTTTAAAACCTGCTGAGGAGGCAGAAATGCCATGATGTCAGTGCTAAACTGTGACCAGCACTGGCTAAAGGTTAAAGGTGTGTGCAGGAGAGTCCAGCGGGCTCCTGGCTGGCCAGGTCACAAATCTCTCTGATCCTAACGGGAGCTCAAGTGAAGCTCTCTATTTGGGCAAGTCCATACCTTCACCTACCCTGATACTGGGATGTTAAAGGCTCAGCCTGTTCTGAAACCCCTGCACAGTCACCTAATCAATATTAAATATTAAATATTAAGCTGCTGCTTCTTTTGATCCTTTCTGTTTACCTTTTCCTGATCATCAGGGCTGTTTCCCTGGTTCTGTGTGTAACCCAGGATCCTGTGACATGGAAATGTTTCAGCTCCGTCTTGTGCCCAGGCAGCCCAGCTCTTGGCACCTTTCCAAACCAATGTTCTAGATCCTTCCCTATCCAACCCAGTTCCAATCTTTGCTCAGGTTGGTTCAGAGTTTCTGTCATCTACTTGATAGGTTTCTTAATAAGGGCCTTTGTGCTTCCTTCTCTCCATCCCTCATGCCCAGAGGGTTTGTCTCTGGATTTTCAAAGGAATCTCATGACCCTCTCCACATTTCCCTTGTCCCTTGTTCCACTGCTCCCTGGTTTTCTAAGGCCAGAATGGTCTTGGAAGGGACCTTAGAGCACCTCCAGTCCCACTCCCTGCCATGGACAGGGACACCTTTCACTAGCCCAGGTGGCTCCAAGCCGTGTCCAACCTGGCCTTGGACACTGCCAGAGATCCAGGGGCAGCCACAGCTGCTCTGGGAGCTGTTGTCCTGTCTGGTGCTCCAACACAGCGAGAGCAGAGGTGATCAAGACCCTGGGGGTTTTCCTGTTCTGTTTCCTGCTTTAACTCCTCCAGAAGGATGTGACAGGCACGAGACCACAGCAACATGCAGATCCTGTTCCCTGGAATATTTTCTTTCATCTGTAATCACTTCATCAAAAGCCATAAATCAGTGAGGGGAGGCTCAAATGCACAAGCACGGCTGCAATTTGTGCCTTCCTGCCCAGTGTTTCATTTGGCACGTGGAACTCCAAAGCTTTTCCTGAAACATTGATAATGACACCACAGGAGAACTCTGAATAGTGAGGCCACTGGCATTCCTGCTCCTATCATCTCTACTTCCTTTTCATTTATTGGAGACGATTCAGGGAGCAAACCAGTGGGTTTATTTCTGCATTTAATCTGGAATTCACCGTTCCAGGCTTGTTTTCCAGTCCTGGGTGCTGTTAACACACACTGTTGGCTAAGGCAGACTCTGAAGTGGTGTGGGAGAGAAGCCTGGATTGGGGTGCCAATGCTTGCCCTCCCCAGCTCCAGAAGCTTGTTGGGAATTGTCACCTTCTCCAGCTCTGCTGGGGAGGAATCGATGCTCTTGTGACATCTGCCATGTCACCCTGTCTAAACCCTCCTAGGCACTGCAGAGACCTTGTGGATCTCATGGGAAGCAAATCTATCTGATATAGGATGGGAGGTGAATTCCTGAACATCCAGAGGGGTGACGCCTTCACCAGGAGGGCATTGGAGGAGGAGATGTCAACCCAGAGGGGCACAGACAGGAGGCAGAAAAAGGATGCTAAGGGAGTTTTCCAATATGAAACCTGGCTTGGAGAAGGCAGGTGGCTCTCGAGTGGCTTTGTCCTGGTGTCTCAGAGAGGAATCTTACTTTGCTTCCCTTAGGACAGGACTCCAGGACTCTCTTTCCTGACCTCTGTGCAAAAATGAATTAAATTACTCAAAATCCTAAAGCTTGTACAGGGCTGATGGGACCCGCGGAAATGGCTGGCACATCTATTTAGAGCCATGTGGATTACAGGGGCAGAAGTTACTGAGCTCCCAAAAAAGCAGGGAATTTTCTGGCCAGGAGAGCAAAGGCAGTGTCTGAAGGGCTGCGAGCGTGACGCTGTCGCTGGGGCTGATCGGCCTCTCCCCGGATTGAAGGAACACTGCTGAAATTCTGGGGTCACGCCCTGACACCTCCTCCTGCATCCTGTGACAGAGAAAAAGCAAAGCCATTTTGCCCATGATTATTCCACGTGGAAAAGCATTTGACCCAGAGATGGAACTCAGTCTCCTCCCCTCAGCCCAGGAAGCAGCTGTATCACTCCTCGCATCCTTCCAGCACCCTCCACAGCATTCCAAACGTGGCTGTGCCATATCCTGCTCCCACCCTGCTCCCCAGGGTGGTCCCCCCCCGCCCCAGGTGACTCTTCTGCCTCAGAGAGATTATTTCTCTCTTCCTTTGTTTGCCAATAAAAATCCCTCCCAGTTTTTCTGTTTTCCATTTGACACGCAAATTTTTCCCATGTGTGTTTCCTCCTCCCCTGGCCTGGGGCAGGGGGAAGGGAGGATCCCGGATCACCTCATGCCAGAGGAATTTTCACATGCTTTTCCATCTCAGGTGAGAGAGCCTCCAGGACAGTGTTAGGAATATTCTCTGGGCTGAGGAGACATGTGTCCAAGCAGGACACCACAGAGTGGCACAGAATCACCCCATGATCCCGAGGATCTGCTTCGCCTCCAGGCACCGGTTCGAAATTAGTCAGAAGGATCACTGGGAAGGCAGGACTTCTAGTTCCTTACCCCAAATCTGAGTGACTGTGGGATAATCTATGCCCCAAAATCCCGCCCAGGGGACCTGGTTTGCTGTTCCAGGTGAGGGGGATTAGCAGGTGGCTGGAGCACAGAGCACAAGAGAGTGGGGGTTGTTTGGCAGACCAGAATAATGACAAAAACCTGTGCCTGCAGGGTGCAGGCAAAAACCTGCCACTGCCAGAGTGGCACTGCCAGGCTTGGGTGACATGAGTTTAACACAGCCAGGCCTGCTCAGGTCAGACACTCGCTCGGGGGTCGCAGCACTTACAGATGGGCGTTTCCCTGCTGTCGGTCCCGTCGGACGGGCAGCGGGCCGATCCCGATCCCGAGCCCTCACGGACCCGCCTGCACCCCGGCCTGCGCCTTTTCCCGCTGCCCCTCCCGCCGGGCCCGGCAATCCCCTTCCCGTCCGCCAGAGGGCGACCAACCCCTACCGGCGGCTTTGGCGCGATGTACGCCGGGAGCTGTAGGCGCGACTGAGTTAGCGCGATGCGCGCCAGGAGTTATAGGCGCTGCGGGGTTGGCGCAGTGCACGACGGGGGCTGTAGGCGAAGAGCCCGCTAGATAAGCCCGCGCGCCGAGGGGGCTCATAATGTCTCTTTAGTGTCGTCACTTCCGGCACGCTGGGTCTCGGCGGGATGGCGACGCGGCGGGCGGCTTGGCGGGACCGGGACCCCGACCCCGACCCGGACTGGGCCGGGATGGCGGCGCTCCCGGAGAAGACCATGAACGGCTGGGTCCTGCAGTTCTACTTCCACCGGGCCATAGAGGCCTACCGCTCCGGGCGCAACCGGGATTTTCGCCAGTTCCGCGACATCATGCAGGGTGCGTGGGGCTGGGCCGGGGAGCGGTGGGGCTGGGGGCGGCCGGGCCGGGGGCGCGAGGCGGCCGGACCGGCTGCACCGCCCTGACCTGCCGTTTGTCCCGCAGCGCTGCTCGTGCGGCCCCTGAACAGGGAGCCGGAGATGGCCCAAATGCTCCGGATAATGCAGCTGCTGTCGCGGGTCGAGGAGGGCGAGAACCTCGGTAGGTGCCCGGCCCTTCCTGCGAGCTCTGGGGAGCGCCGGTGCTGCTTGCAGCCCGCTCCCTTCTCCTCCCGTCTGTCTTGTGTCCGTGTCCCTGCACTCCTGGAGCTTTGTTCCCGCACAGAGCGGGGCTGTGGGGGTGTCCCTGCGGGTGAGGGGTATCTGTTCGTAGCTCTCTCACGGGGGGGCCTAAAGCAGCATCTGTGGTGCTTCGGGGCTGGTATGCCAGACAAACACCTCAGCCTGGTGACTCCTTCTTAGCCTCACAGCTTTTAAAATGCTCCCCTGGGTTATTGCTGGGCACTTGGGAAGGTCTCGAGCGCTGCTTCCAGCATTTCCTATGGCTGTTGTGGGGCAGGAATTGCAGTTCAGACACTTGGCTGTGGAATTTGTGGCACACCTGTGCAGGTGGATGGCTGCCACCTGTGCAGGTGAATAACCAGCTCTCTCTAGGGAAGCGCCGTGACCCCCCCCCAAATGTATGGATGCCAATTCTTATAGATTGCACCTTCGACAAGGAGTCAGAGCTGACCCCACTTGAGTCGGCCATGCTTGTCTTGGATTTCATCCGTGAGGAATTCTCTGTGGCGGACAAGACAATGGAGGCTGTGCAGAAAATGGTGAAGGAAGCTGTAAGATCTTTTTCTTTCTCAGTAAATATCTTGTGCAGCTTTTGTCTTGGAAAGGCCTCGTGTGGATGGTGGTGGGAGCTGCCTTGTGTGTGAGATTCCCTCGTTATGTGCACGCTCATACCTGCAGTGATGTGGAAGTTGGCACTGAGCTGTTCTCTGTGACCTGCTTCAATCTGTCATTGTTTTCCTCTGCAGGCTGTTGTCGTTTGTATCAGAAACAAGGAGTTTGAAAAAGCTTCTAATATTGTCAAGAAGCACATGGGGAAGGAGCCCAGAAATCAAGTAAGTCTGTGCTGGGATAAAGTGGGAGCTGCTGGTATGTCCAGTGGGGGTCTGATGTGTCCTGGGAGGTTTGGGATGAGGAGGCCAGAATGGAAACAATCCTTCTGGAGTGCTGGTCCCTCAGTGTTCTGTGTTTGAATTGTCACCCTGGAGCCTCCTCCGTTACTCACCTTTCCTCACACACCTTTGTAAGCCTTCCAGGAATCACCATTTATCCCTTGGTGAGCCTCCAGCTCACCTTCAGAGCAGGTTCTGGGAGCAGCAGGAGTTCCCATTCCTGTTTCTGCAGGCAGTAGGGTGCTGGGGCACTGCAGGCAGGGAGAATTCCTGAAATAAGCTGGTTCTGTTGCTCTTCTGTTCCTCTGGCTTTTTCCTGGCCTCATCTCGGTGTCAGTTGTTGTGCCTGGAGAATGCCAAACAGGCCAAGCCCAGTCCTTCCCCATGTCCTTGCTGTGGCTGTCACTGATCCCTTGTCCCTGTCCAGAGTATTCTTACCTGATCTATGAATCCCTCCTCTAGAAAAAGAGAAATGAGTGGCTGGCTGTCATCCGAGAGAAGAATCCCTCTCATCCAAAGGTGAAAAACTTCTCCTATGAGAATTTCCAGCAGAGCATCTTTGAGTTCCTGAAGGGCTACATGGATGACTCGGAGCCAGCACTACTCACAGTACGTGTCCACCCTGCTGCCCTGGGGGTCAGGTGCCTGATGACAGCAGGTGAAACCTGGAACACTCTAAATTCAGTCCATTTCTAGGAGGTTTATATGGTCAAACATGTTTTTCAATCCATGAAGTGACTTTGGGAGGGGATAAAATGGAATGGGAGTGCAAGAAATCCTCTCTCTAACGGTGCTGTGCTTTTTCTCTCTCTTAAGTTATTGAAAAAGACCTTGAATGCAGAACGTGTTGACAAAGCAAAATCTTCGCTGGAGACTTCCGAGTTTGCAGATGGGCTGAAGGACCAGGCAGCAGCTCCAGAGGCCTTGGGAAGGGCAGAGGGCTCAGCCAGAGCTCCAGAGGCTTTGGAAAGGGCAGAGGGCTCAGCCAGAGCTCCAGAAGCTCTGGGAAGGGCAGAGGGCTCAGCCAGAGCTCCAGAGGCCTTGGGAAGGGCAGAAAGCCCAGCCAGAGCTCCAGAGCCTGCAGGAGCAACAGAAGACCTGGAGGGAGCTGCCAGCCCTGCACAAAGGGCAGCTGGTCCCACAGCAGCTCCAGAGATTATGGAAGAAGACAGTGGCCCTGCAGCAACTACGGAATCTATGGAAGTCACTGACCCAGCAGCAACACCTGAACACTTACCAGCAGCATATGAAATTCTGAAAGGCACTTCAGAGTCTATGGAAAAAGCTAAAGAACCAGCAGCAGCAACCCCAGAACTCCCCAGAGTGTCCACCAGGGAACCAGAAAGGTGGGCACAGGAGTCTGGCTCTAGACTGGATGCAGTGTGGCTGCGAGTTCTCTTCCAAGGGATAATCCCGTGCCCAGGCAGTTCCTAATTCCCCAAATGCCTGCCCGGGCCAGCCCAAAGGTGTTGGTGCAGGACTCTGAATCCTGGCAAAGGTGTTGAGGTGTTTTGGTTCAGTTGCTGACAGGAAGTGCTGTTGTGACCTGGGAGGAGGCCGTGGCTGCTCTTGTGGAGCAGCGTTGGGAGTAGCAGGAGGCAGTGAAGCATGAACCTGTGTTCTCCACACCTGCTTCCTGGGGCACTGTGCTGTTTGGGAGGGAATACTGGGGGGTTGGGAATGCCCTCGTTTATGGATTTGCACTCTGGGATGCCAGTGAAGGGAAAGGCTGGATTTTGGGGTAGCAGAGCTCCCTCGGTTTCCCTACAACCCGCTTGGTTGTGTTTATTTTATAGGCAGCCCCCCGGAGCTGTAACCTCGTATGGGATTTCTGTTCTGAGAGAAGCTTTCAAGATCCTGTCGGACTCCAGGGACCCGGACGCACTTTTCACCAAACTGGACGAAACAGACTTGCCTTCCCCCAAGCAACTGTCTCCTTCTGTATCCCACAGAACCAAGAGACGCAGAGAAGAGGAGAATCAAACTTCTGAGACCTCAGAGCCTCCTGAAATACCCCGTAACGTCAAAAACTTGTTCAGCATAAGCAATCTGATCGTGGACTTGGATGGCTCCTCCAGCAAGTCGAGCGAGTGCCCTGACTCCTCCCAGGAGCACGTGGTCTCTTCTGCTTCCAAACCTGCTCCGAAATTGCCTGATGAGCCCTTGTCTGCTCAGAGTGAGAAGTATGAAACCCCTCTCGTGTGGTATTGTCTGCTCTGCCCCCAGTCTTGTCTTGCTAATGTTGGTAGCCTGAGCATCAAGCCCTTGCCCTGTGTCCCAAGATGAGTGTTGCCCGCCAGCCCGTGTGGAACTGGGCAAAGCAAACCTTCTCTTGTCCATACATTTGGCTTTAAAATTAATTATGGGTTAATGGAGAGGAGAAAATGATCAGGTCCTGCTGGTAATGAGGTGCTGCAGCTGGTCCTGGCAGGTGATTCCAGTACAGGTAACACATATTTTTCCACACTTCTCCCAGCCTCAGCATCATTGGCCAGAAGCTGTAGGAGCATGCTTCTCTGGCTTCCCACCTCTACAGAAATAGTGTCCAGAGGCTGGCTCTGCACCTGCTCCCCAAAAAACCTTCGCTGAGCCAGTATCCAGAGTAAACCCTCACCTAATTTCAGGTCCATCCAAGGAAGGTGGAACAGCTCGTGTGGCACAGAGGAGAAGGACAGTTGGAGTGATGAGGATGAGCTTTTTGCAAATGCAGGTATGAAAATTCCCCTGGTAAGGGATTACCTGTGCTGTTTCTGGCATGGGAGTCACTCACAGGGGTCTTGCTGCTGCCTGGGTGACTGAATTTTGAAACCAGAAATCCTGTGGAAAGGCTGGGATAAAGGAAGCGGGGTGTATTGCCTGTCACAGGGTGCTCTGACTGCACAGCTCGGCAGTTAAGCCCAAGGCAGCCTCTCAAATCTGTACCTCCCAAACTATGGGAAATGTAACTCTCTCCCTTGTTTTCCAGCAGCACTGGAGAAAAGCAATGTTACCAAAAACTCCAGCTCCAAGAAACAGGTACGTGAAGCCTTAGGTGCTTCCTGCAGGCCCTGCAGTGGGGCAGTGTCCCTACAAATCTCCATGGTGAAACAGGCTGGAGCTGTGCCTGTCCTGCTCCAGGGCACTGGGAATGTGCCTCAGGTGCCTTTGTCCTGAAGGCTCAGAGCAAGGTTTGCCAAATTCCCCTCATGCTGGAGAGGTTCAGAGTCTTGTTCAGGTGAGGGACACACATCTGGCAGCTGTTATCCAGCAACAGGTCCCACCTTGGTGCCACCAGGAATTCTCTTCCTGACCCATAGGAAGGCAACTGCTGCACCACATCTGCAGTGCTGGAGTGTTGTGTGCAGCTGCCAGGACCTGTCTGCCTTCCCTGCTGTTCCTGGCACGGGTGCTGAGAGAAGGAACGTGCCAGGAAGGATTTGGCAGCAGGCTGTGTGCCATGCAGCACCTCCTGCAGCTGCTTCCTTCTCTTTGCAGAAATGGACCATGCAGGAGAGCGAGTGGATCAAGGAAGGGGTGCAGAAGTATGGAGAAGGGAGGTGGAAAGCCATTTGCCTCAAGTACCCCTTCCAGAACCGCACCTCGGTGATGATCAAGGATCGCTGGCGGACCATGAAGAAACTGGGAATGCTCTGAAGCTGGGAGCCACAGGACTTTCTTTACTTTAGTTTTTGGACCTTAGTTTGTTTTTGGAAGCTGGACCAGAGTGTTGTCTATGCCAGTGTGGGAAGCCCTGTGACACCAAAAGCATGACTAACAGGAATCCAAAAGCCTTGTGCTCCAGGTCTATGTGCAAAGATCAGTGTGCTGCAGGTGGCAGGGGCTGTGCAGCCTCTCAAAGTGAACTTAGAACCACCTGGGTTGAGCCTTCCCTGTCCACCTGACCACTGCAGCCTCTGGAATGAATCCCAGCTGTTTGCTCTGCTCAGGTGTGATCAGTAAGATAATCTCATAGGTGACTATTTTTTTGTATTTTAGTTGTCTGTTCTCTGAATCACGTGCATCATCTGTTTGCCATCATTCCCTTGTGGAAGAGAGGCAGCACTGAGTCCCAGAGCTTCTGTGGGGAGGAGATCCAAGCAATAGGATCTACTTGGATTTTTTTTTTTCCCTCCCATTCATTTCTGCTTTGTAAATAACTAGTCTGTGATGAGAAATTCCTCCCAGCTCTGAGGCTTTAAAAACTAAAATATCTTTGTGTTTCAGTACTTGAAACTGTTTGTTTCCATGCTAAAAATTTTAGTTCTGTCTGATTTTGGTCATGTTTTCTTTGCACTTTTCCTGGTAATATCCTTAGTGTGTGTGAGCTCCAAGGGTTCCACGTGTTCCTGCCTTCAAGTGCCAAAGCTGGAACACTCATTTGTAAAATAAAGTTCCTTTCTTGTTTACTATCAAGAGTTGTGTAAGTGTGAATTTCTACCTCGTGGTGGAAAGGGGCACAGACTGCCCTAGGAATGTGGGGCTTGCCCTTGCTCTCTGGGAGTGTTGGGTCCGGAGCAGCACTGCCCTGGAGGTGTGACATGCAGGTATAAATGGGAAATGGGAGTTTCTGGATTAGATTCCTGTGGAAAAACAAGTTGGGGTGATACCAGGGAACTTTCTAAACTTAGTTTCTAGGTTTCTCTTGGCTGCATTCCAGCAAAGCCAGGGCTGGGAGAAATCTTGTCTAGGAACAGCTGCTTCCTCCTCTGTCCTTCAGCTGCAGGTGCTGCACTGAGTCTCCCTTGTTCCGTGGCTGTGGCCATGCCTTTTCCCCCCTTCTCTAAATCCCTTCCCTCGGGAGCCCTGGGCAGCAGGAGCACCAGGTCAGAGATGTGGGCCACTACTGGCCAGGGAGAGGCAATGCCCCAGTGGCAGGAGCTGTGTCCCATTCCTGCGTCTCCCTGGCAGGCTCTTGCCCTGGCAGCACAGGGTGCTGGAGCTCCAGCTCTGCACCAGGATCACCTTGAGCCGTGGCTCCTGTGCTGGCACAGCCCTGGTGCTGCAGAGCAGTTAATGATTACCCCCTCTTGCACTGCCCTGTGTGGGGAGCAAATGCTGGAGCCTAGGGAAGGAGGAGGATGCTGCTGCTGCTTCTCCTGGCACTGCTGGGCCCGGCTGGCTGCCCCAGGACAGAGCCCCTGAGTGGCTCCAGCCAGGAGCCGCTGTTCCGCGGCGCCGATCGCTACGACTTCGCCATCGTCATCCCTGCTGGCACCGTGGAGTGTTTCTGGCAGTTCTCACACCAGGGTGGCAACTTCTTCTTCAGCTACGAGGTGAGTGCTGGGGACATGTCTTGGGAGGCTGCGGGTACAGCCAGGGAACGGCTGTGCTGGATCCATCCTGTGCTGGTTCTGTGGCACACAGCATCCCAGGGACTGTGCCTTTCTTAATGCAGGATCATGGAATTGTTTGGTTTGAAGGGACCTTTAAAGCTCGTTTCCTTCCAGCCCATGCCATTGGCAGGGACACCTTCCACTATCCCAGGGGGCTCCCAGCCCTATCCAGCCTGGCCTTGGACACTTCCAGGGATCTAGGGGCAGCCACAGCTTCTCTGGGCACCCTGTGCCAGGCCCTGCCCACCCTCACAGGGAAGAATATCTTCCTAATATAACCAACGTAATCCATATCCATCATCAATCCTATGCATTTTTAAACTACCTGGTTTAAACCCGTGAAGTGGTGCTGGGGGCTCCAGCATTGCTGGAAGCTTTGCCCTTCACTGCCTGAGCAGAGGCTGTGGCACAGCCCAAGGTCCTGGCACAGCATGTCCCTGAGCTCTGTCCCCTTCCCACAGGGAAACTCCAGCCTTTCATCTCCTGTTTACACTGGGCTGGCTGAAAGAGAGCCAGGGCATAGCTGTGCCTGGCACTGGCAGCTTCCCCCAGGAACACGTCCTCAGGGCTTAGCACAGCTCCATCCCCAACACAACAGTGACCACAAATTCCCCTCGGGTGTTCCCTGCCTCCAGGTCCAGCGGGCCACGGGGATTGGAAACAGCAGGAACATCCTGGTGACAGCGAGTGATCCCAATGGCTTCCAGCTTGGAGCGTCCCAGGATGTGCGAGGACAGATCAACTTCCTCACCAAGGACACAGGTCACCTCAGCCCCTACAGCAACTCTGAGCCTGCCTGGCCAAAGCTTGCTCTTGTGGAGGGAGGATGAGGGCTGAGCACTTGGGATGTGTCTGTACCTTCCATCCAGGGACCAACAACCCCCTTCCCTCTGCAGGTTTCTACCAGCTCTGCCTGGACAACCAGCAAAACCACTTTGGCCTCATGCAGGTGTATCTCAATTTTGGTGTGTACTATGATGACTTCAATATGGAACACAAGCAGCCAGCAGAGAGGAAGGAGTTGAATGACACCCTGGAGGCAATTGGGGTGAGGGTCAGGGAGGCCACAGGGTGCCCTGGCACAGCTGGGATGGGCATGGCATGCCCAGGACACTGAACAGGGCATTTGCTTGGGCTGAACTGCAGCTGCGTTCAGCACTGAGCCCCACGGGCAGCTCTGAGTGTGGCTCTGCCTCTCCTGCAGGTGAGCATCCAGAGGCTGCAGATCCACACCTTCCACATGTGGCGCTTCTACAACTTCGCCAGGATGCGGAAAGGAGCCGACTCCTTCCTCCTGGAGTCCAACTACAACTATGTCAACTGGTGGTCAATGGCCCAGAGCTGTGTCATTGTCCTCTCGGGGGTGCTGCAGCTCTACTTCCTCAAGCGCCTCTTTCACGAGCAAACCTCGGGCAGCCAGAAGTGCTAGGACAGGGCAGGGCTCCCCTCTGCAGAGCCAGGTGACCTGGCTGCCACTCTGTCCCACCACGGAGTGGGAGGAGAGGCTTGATTTTGCTTCCAGGAGGAGGTTGGAGAGTTCACCCTGCTCCTGCCTCATCTCTAGCCCTGGCATCACCCCAAGAGGAGTCAAAGGCCACACTGTCACCTGAGTTCTATGTGCTGTATGGGTTTGTCACATCCCTACCAATTTTTAGTATCTTAATGGGCGTTTTCTACCAGGCTCCAAATAAAGAAACTCCTGGCAGAGTCCAGGGAGTGACTGCTGCCTGCAGCTGCTATTCAGCCTCTGTGAACCTAGAAGCTACTGGCCCCTTCCTCCCTCCCTTCCTGAAGCTCAGCCTCACACTCTGAGGTCCCCCCCAAACACATCCCAGTGTGTCACATTCCCCACAGGAGGGGCGAGGACTGATTCCCCCCGGGTCTCCACACCAAACAACAGGTATGTAAAAAAGAAAAAGGCTTTATGTCACAGGGCTGGGGCCAGGGCCCCTCCTCTCGTGCTGGCAGCAGCCCCCTGAGGGCTCTGGGGCTCTGTGCTGGCAGCTCCCCACATCTCCATCCCACTCTGGGTGGGCTTCCCACACCCACAGTGCAGGACAAAGTCCGTCCTACCCCGGAACACTCACAGAGAATGAGGGTCCCTTGGGGTCCCCGAGGGTCCCTTATGTCAGCGTGTCCTCATTCCGCACGTACTCCCCAACGTCAGCTTGGTGGAACACCACGATGGCCAAAGGATCGACCTTCCGGCACTCCTGTGTGGACTTGGCAGCCACCCCGAAACCCTGGGGGACGAAGGGGAGGTGAGGGAGGGCCGCCCATCCCGTATCCCCCCGCCCCGGCTCACCCTGGCTCACCAGCGGGACATCAGCCATGGAATACACCACGACACCCTGGTACTGCGCCGTGTTCTCCGTGATGCGGCCCAGCCCCGACTTCAGCACGTGGTTACCGTAGAGAAAGGACTGCTCCGAGCCCGGCTTCACCCACACCTTGTACTGCAAGAGAGGGGCAGGGCTGTGAGGGGCCGTGGGGCTGGCACGGGGCCGGGGTCGGCTCGGGGGCCGTGACCCACCTTGGCATAGGGCGCCAGGAAATCCAGGGCCGTGACACTGAGCCGGAACTTCTGCGACTTGGTGAACTTCCCGAAGCAGGTGCCCGGGGCCACCAGGCTCTCCCGGGGGATGCTGGCCGCCAGCTTCAGTAGCTTCTCACTGCGGGAGCAGGGTCGTGCTGGGCGGCGGCCGGGCCCGCACCCCGCGGGGTTGGCCCGGTCCCCGGCCGGCCCGGCCCTCACCTCAGGTAGTACACGCGGTCCCGGTGCAGGCGGAAGCAGTAGGTGCCATCGGGCCGGTCCACCAGCAGCTGGATGTTCTCCCCGATGCTGCAAGGCCGGACCCCGTGAGCACGCCCGGCCCCGGTACCTCCGGGGCCCAGCCCTCCCGGTCCCGCTCCGTGCCGCCAGATCCCCGGTGTCCACCACCCCCTCGGTCTCCCTTGGCCTCCCCGTTCCCCGGGATCCAGCTGGCCCAGCCCTCCCAATCCCCGCGGTCCCGGCCCCTCACTATTTCCCGAGCTTCTCGAACACCGCCCGCGTCTCCGCCTCCGTGAGCGGCCGCATCTCCCGCGCCGCGCACGCGGGGCCGCCGGGGCCGGAAGTGCCAGACCGGAACCGGCGGTAGCGGAAGTGACAAACCCGGAACCGGCGGGCCAGGAGGTGACGCGGCGGCTGCGGCGATGGCGGCGGCGGCGGAGGAGGCGCGGCTGCTGGCCTGGCTGCGCGGCCCGGCGGCGCCCGGTGGCCCCGAGCTCGCCGCTTATGTGTCGGAGCTGGCTGCGCTGGGGCTGGCGGAGCTGGGCCGGGAGCCGGCGCGGTTGGCGGCGGAGCGGGCGCGGGTCGGGGCTGAGACGCGCCGCCTCGCCTTCGAGCACTACCGAGCCTTCATCCGCTCCGCCGAGTGCACCGGCCGCGCCGGCCGCGGCTTCGGCGGTATCGAGAGCCGCCTCGGCAGCCTGCTGGAGCGGCTGCCCGCGCTGCAGGACGCCTGCCGGTACGGGACGGACACCGGGCACTGGGAGCGGCGGGCAAAGCGCGGGTGGAAACGGGACAGGAAGGGCCGGGGATGGGGTGAACTGGGCTGGGTTGGGGAGCGAGAGGTCCCAGGGTTGAGCGCATTGAGGGTCGGGGCGGCTGGGATTGGGCAGGAGGCAGCGCTGGGAGCGGCTGGTGTGGGTGGGACGGTCCCTGGACCCACCCGCTGCAGGGAGGACTCTCCTGCTGATGCCATCCCGGCCTCGCAGGACCTTCATGCGCGATGCCGAGGCCATCGCCTGCAGCCGGCGCATGAACAGCCTGACCCTGAACCGGCACACGGAGATCCTGGAGATCCTGGAGATCCCGCAGCTCATGGACACCTGCGTCCGTAATGGCTACTATGAGGAGGCACTGGAGCTCACGGCCTATGTGCGCAGGCTGGAGAGGAAGCACAGCAGCATCCCCGTTATCCAGGTGAGCCCTGCACTGTCTGAGCTGAATCCCCTGATGTCCCACACGCTTATCCAGGAGAACTCTCTGCTGACCCAGCCCCCTGATTCAGGTGAACCCCACACTACCCCTGACCGAAAGCTCTCTCTTCCCCAGGGCATCGTGGAGGAGGTGCGCCAGTCTGCGCAGCTGATGCTGAACCAGCTCATCCAGCAGCTGCGCACCAACATCCCTCTGCCCGCCTGCCTGCGCGTCATCGGCTTCCTGCGCCGCATGGACGTGCTCACCGAGGCCGAGCTGCGCGTCAAGTTCCTGCAGGCGCGGGACGCGTGGCTGCGCTCCATCCAGGCCTCCATCCCCGACCACGACCCCTACGTGCACATCACCAAGACCATCGAGGCCTGCCGGGTGCACCTGTTCGACATCATCACCCAGTACCGCGCCATCTTCTCGGATGAGGAGCCGCTGGTGCCGGCCGAGGGCGCTGCGCCCGGCGAGGGGGCCATCTTCCACGGCTGGGTGCTGCAGAAGGTCTCCGAGTTCCTGCGGACGCTGCAGCGCGACCTGGACCGCGGGGTGGGCGGCCGGCTGGACTCGCTGCTGGGGCAGTGCATGTACTTTGGGCTGTCCTTCAGCCGGGTGGGCGTGGATTTCCGTGGGCAGCTAGCCCCCCTCTTCCAGCGTGTGGCTGCCGATGCCTTCAGGAAGGCGGTGGAGGAGGCGGTGGAGAAATTCCGGGAGGAGATGAATTCCTACACGCTGATCTCAGCGCCGGCCGTGCTGGGGGGCAGTGCAGGAGTGCCGGTGCCCACAGCCCAGCCCGGGACACTGCAGCCCCCCATGGTGCTGCTGGACTTCCCACCCCTTGCCTGCTTCCTCAATGGGCTCCTCGTTGCCTTCAATGACCTGCGGCTCTGCTGCCCCATTGCCCTGGCACAGGACGTCACCACCTGCCTGGACAGTGCCCTTGGTGAGGTGAGTCCAGGGGATGGAGCTGGGATTGTCCTGGGAGATCATGGAGCAGGTTTATTCTGACTGGGTTGGGAAAGATCATCCAGTCCAACCACTCCCCCAGCACTGCCAAGGCCACCCCTAGCCCATGTCCTTGAGTGCCACATCCACACAGCTGTTAAATCTCTCCAGGGATGGGGATTCCACCACTGCTCTGTGCCAGGGCTGGACAGCTCTTTCCATGAGGAAAAATTCCTAATATCCTAATAACCTAAACTTCCTGTGGCACTTTCTTCTTGTCCTGTCCCTAGTTCTTTGGGAGCAGAGCCTGTCCCCACCCTGGCTGCCCCTCCTGTCAGGAAGTAGTGGAGAGCAACAGGGTCCCCCTCAAGCCTCCTTTTCTGCAGGCTTAGCCCCCCCAGCTGCCCCTTGTGCTTCAGCTCCTTGTCCAGCTCTGTTCCGTTCCCTGGACACACTCCTGCCCCACAGTGTCTATCTCGGAGTGGCCCAGAACTGACCCCAGGATTCCAGGTGTGGCATCACCAATGGCAAAGGAAGATGGGCACTGCCCTGGGCCTGTGGCCACACTGCTGCTGGTACAAGCCACGTGCCATTGGCCTCCTTACCAACCTGGGACATGCCTGTCATCAGGTGACCTATCTGCCTCTCTCTCTTCCCAGGTGACCAAAACCATCCTGGCCTTCCACCGTGCAGAGGAGGCAGCTTTCAGCGGGCGGGAGCAGGAGCTCTTTACCCAATTTTGCACAGCCTTCCTGGAGGACCTGCTGCCCTACCTGAACCGCTGCCTCCAGGTGCTTTTCCCTCCAGCACAGATTGCGCAGGCACTGGGTGAGATTTCAGGGTTTCGTTTTCGTTGCAGGGGGAGGACACCCGTGGCTTCCCCTTGGCATTGAGCAGGCCCTGTCCTGCTCTTGCTCCCTCCGTGGGGCTCTGCAGACCCCCTGACCCCTCTCTCCCCATCCCCAAGGTGTCCCCCCCACGCAGCTGCAGCGTTTCGGCCTCCTGGGCCGCATCGACGTGGCCGCACTCAGGGAGCCGCTGGCTTTCCTCCTTCCGCCGACACCGGGCGAGGAGGATCCATCCCCGGAGACCGCCGCAGAGCCGGAGGGGGAACACACCGCCGTGTCCACCGAGCCCCCGCAGAGCCCCTCCGGGGACGCTGCTGCGCTGCCGGGTGACCCGGTGGCCACGGGCTAGCCCGGCCGTGTCACCCGTGGGAGCGCCCGGGGCCGCCAGGGGGCGCGGCGGCGGCGCGGGTGCGCGCGCACGCGGTGCGCCATGGCGGCGGCGCTGGGGCGGGCGGCGGGACGGGCCCTGCCGGGGCTCCCGCCGCTCCTGGCCCGCGGCTGCGGACACGCGGCGGGCTGGGACCGGCGGGAGCGCTCCTACTGGCGGGCGCTGCGGCGCCGGGTGCTGGGCCCGCCCGTGCCGCCGTTCGCAGCCCCGGTGCAGGTGGGAGCCCCGGTGCTGCGCGGCGCCGCCGCCGCCGTGTCCCCGGAGCAGCTGGGCGGCCCCGAGCTGCGGCGGCTGGCGGCGGCGCTGGCGGCCGGGCTGCGGAGCAGGCCGTGCCTGGGACTGAGCGCTCCGCAGCTCGGGGTGCCGCTCAGGGTGTTCGCCGCAGAGCTGCCACCCGCCCGCTGTGCCCGGTACCCGCCGGCGCTGCGCCAAGCGCACGGCATCGAGCCCTTCCCGCTCCGCGTCCTCGTCAACCCCGCGGTCCGCGTCCTCGACACCCGCCTCGTCACCGGCCCCGAGGGCTGCGCCAGCATCCACGGCTTCTCCGCCTACGTCCCGCGGCACTGGGCCGTCCATGTCACCGGTACGGACCGATTCGCACCTGCCCCTCCCTCACAAGGTCCCCTTCTTTTACATGCGTCCCGCAGTCTCTCCCGGGTCCCCCCACTCTCACAAATTCTTTGACGGGTTCCCTGTTCTCTCACAGATCCCTCCACTCTCTCAGGGTTCCCCCCCATTTTCTCACAAATCACACCACACACAGGTCCCCCACTCTCACACAATCACCCTATTCTCTCACAGATCCTTTCACACGGGTCCCCCTTTTTTCCCTTTAATCACCACCCCCAACCCCCCCGGCCGCAGGCGTGGACGAGTGCGGGGCGCCGGTGAGCTGGGAGGCGTCGGGCTGGGCCGCCCGGATCATCCAGCACGAGATGGATCACCTGGATGGGATCCTCTACATCGACCGCATGGACACCCGCACCTTCACCAACGTGAGCTGGATGGAGCTGCTGGACTGACCCCAGTGTGCCCACACGGGCCTGCCCTGACCCTGGTGAAAGAACCAGCGCAGCTCTGGGGGCTCCCACTCAGCTTTATTGCAGCCAATACAGACCTGTGGCCTCAGTGTGGCTCTGGCCCTTCCTGCCCACACTCTCCCGGGCACTGGGAATTCCTTTGTGGGTTTAGGGAAAACCTGCTGCCAAGGCTGTGCAGGGGAGGGGCAAAGGGGGGATCCTCCGCTCCGGGGGCTTGTTTGGGGCTCATGATGACAGCATGGGCAGCAGTTGGGCACAGCACAGGGGGCACGGGGCTGGGGGCAGTGAGGCTGAGGGGAGCCCAGGGATTGCACGGAGGACATGGGGTGTGGGTATCAGCTGGTGGCTGCTCCATTCAAGTAGCCCCTGCTGTAGGCACAAATCCCTGTCTGAGATGGTTCGAGTGTGAGAAACTCCCAGCCCCTTGGGACAGGCAGAGGCCTTGGCCCTGGGTCATTGCATTTTGGGGGGTGGAGGGCTGGGCTGTGCCCCCGGTGCAGGCAGAGTCCTTGGGGAGTGGCTGGGCACTGGCTGAAGCTCTCAGATTGTTTTTATTTTCATATAAACAAGACAGAACCCAAAGCAGCATTAAGTTAAAAAATAAAAAAAGAGCAAGAAGAAGAGTGGGGTGCAGCCAGGGGGGAGGACCCGGCCGCCCAGGCCATGCTCAGACCCACCCCCCGTAGTGTGAGCCCCCCGGGCCGTGTCCCCGCGCCTGCCGGGTGCTGCAGTGCAGTGGGGCAGGAGTGAGCGATCATGAGTCGGTTTGGCACGGCTGGGGAGGGGGGCACAGCGGGGCCTGCAGCTGCCCCAAAACCCCACACCCCCCATGCCCTTTCTCAACCTTCCTGTCCAAAGTCCTCCGTGAATTTCTTCACTTTGAGGAGATCCTCATCATTGACGGTGGGGCGGGTGGTGGCCAGCGAGCGCAGCATGTCTGACTGTAACACGGGTGGGCACGTGGCTCAGACCAGGCAAGGGCACGGGATAGGGGCCCCCATGGCAGTGGGGTACCTCTGCCCTATGGCAGCAGCACTGACCACAGGTGGGAACTGCCTGGCAGACCCAAGGCCCTTTCTTGTCACCCAGCCATCCTCTGGTGGGGCTCAGGACTTCAGGGTGGCAGACTGGGGGTGTGCGTCCACCCCCAGGAGCCACAGCCCTGCCTGGCCCTTGGATGGAGGATGAACAGGGAAGTGACCAGGCCAAAGCTGCGGAGGGGACACTTACCATGCAGACAATGGGCTCCATCAGCTTGTCACTGGGCACCTCCATCCAGGTCATCTCGATGGCCCCAGGGTCACCAGGCGAGCATGGCGTCAGGAGATCATCCACGAGGGCACCGGGGGTGGTGCGGGAGGGGCCACAGACCTGCACAGAGCCAGTGGCACGTGGCACAGAGCTCGGGTTGGGGGGACAGCAGCCACAGTGCCCATCCCTCCCCAGGACCACCCTGGGCAGCCTCCTCTCACCTTCTTGAAGTGTGTGGCCGACTGCACCTTGCGCACGGGCTGCATCAGGGCGTCCCTCACGATGATGCTGATGTCGGCCCCCGAGTAGCGCTCGGTCTTGCGGGCGAGCTCCTGGATGTTGGCGTCGGTCAGGGAGTGCGGGGTGTTCCCCAGGTGCAGCCGGAACATCTGGGCCCGCGCTGCCTCGTCGGGCAAGGCGATGTAGATCCTCTTCTCGAACCTGGGGACACGAGGGGTGAGCCCCAATTCCAGCCCTGCTGGGAGGCTGGCACAGGGGGCTGTGTGGGGCTCACCTTCTCCTGATGGCTGAGTCCAGCACCCAGGGGATGTTGGTGGCACCCAGCACCAGGATCCCGTCGCTGTTGTTTCCCACTCCTGCAGTCAGATGGCTCAGAACAAGCTCCAGGGATTCTCTGAATGCCCAGGTTCTGCCTGTTCCCACCCATCCCTGGGACGGGCCCCCACCCACCTTGCATCTGCACCAGGAACTCGGTCTTGATGCGCCGAGCTGCCTCACTCTCGTTCTCATTGCGAGAGCCACACAGAGAGTCCACCTCATCGATGAAGATGATGGAGGGTTTGTGCTGCCTCGCCAGCTCAAACAGGTTCTTCACCAGCCTGGGAACAAAGAAGGGGATGGGGTCCCCGCTCAGAGACCCTCCTCAGTTCCATCATGGCAGCCCCACGTTCCTCCCACCCTGGGAACCCCACTGTGGCAGCAAGGAAGTGCCACACCAGGGGCTGTGCTCTCCCCTGGGACCCTGCTGGGGATTGAAGTCTAATTATAGGTTATCAGAAATTAATAATGTAGAGTTAAGTTTAATTATGAGTTGCTCACAGCTTGGCAGGGGTGAGCCCTCCTCAAATCTCGCTGTAAGTGAGCTGTAAGTGAATTCTGAGCATGGACAGATGGGAAACCTTCAGGAAAGAGCTGCAACTCTGGAGAGCCCCAAAGCTGCCCCAAGCTGGAACATGGGAGCAGTTAATTAAGACAAGGAGACAGAATCCAGTTAAGTGTTAGAAGACCCCAGCTTAAAGTTGCTGTTGGACTGAGAGACCTGTGAAGATGGGAGAGCACAGACTGGAAGAGAAGAGGCCCAGGGATTGCTTTGCTTAGACTCCCTCTCTGAAGGCACCAGCTCCCAATTCTTTACCAGCCCAGTTACTGGGGCTCCCTGGTGGCCCCTGCCCCAGCCTGGACAGCCAAACCACCAGGAGCCAGGCTGTGGCCACATCCCTGCTGCCAACTTACTTCTCGCTCTCCCCCAGCCACTTCGACATCAGGTCAGAGGATGACACAGAGAAGAAGGTGGAGTTGTTGGCCTCGGTGGCCACAGCCTTGGCCAGGTAGGACTTGCCCGTGCCAGGCGGCCCAAAGAGCAGGATCCCTCGCCAGGGTGTGCGCTTCCCTGCAGCAGAGAACGGGGTCAGGCCTCCCCATGCCTGCACCTAGATCCGTGCTGGAATCACCCAGGGAGGTGCACAGCCCCTTCCCACTACCATGGCCTCACCTGTGAACAGGTGTGGGAACTTGATGGGCAGGATTACGGCCTCCTTCAGGGCTTCCTTGGCTCCCTCCAGCCCAGCCACGTCATTCCACCGCACATTGGGCTTCTCCATCACGATGGCACCTGTGAGGGTGTGACTGCTCACACGGCCCCACAGAGGTGGGCACGGAGAGCAGTGAGAGCCAGAGTCCCTATCCACACCCCCAATCCTGCCTCCCCTCAGCACAGCAGCTGTCTGGGGTGAGCAGGCCACAGGAACACACGCTGGACCTCAGTCCCACAGCCTGTCCCCCTCCCCACAGCCACCCCTCAATAGGGCTGTCAGTGAATCCCTCCCCAACCCCAGAGGGTCGAACCCACCACAGCCTCTCACCCATCAGCTGCTCCTGCAGCTTCTTCTTCTCAGGGTTCTCGCCCTCGCTGTCACTGTCACTCCTGGGGAGAGGGGATAGGGTTCAGGAGCGGGATTGGCACTGGTGGGGCAAGAGGGGTCCAGCCAGCTCCGCGGCCAGACGGAATCCCTCACCCCCCTTGTCCCCCACGCACCCCTTGTTGTAATTCTGTGCTTCCCTGACAGGCCTCTTGCCGTGCCTGTCCTTGCTCCTCAGGTACTCCTTCAGCTTCTCCGCCCGGTCCAGATACTGCATGCACTTGGCCCTGATGCTCTCCTTGGCCTTGTCGCTATGAGCCTCATCTGCAGGGACCGCCAGGGACCGCAGGTGTCACCCGGAGTCCCCGAGCCGGGAGCCGCCCGCGGAGCCCCCCGGCCGGACTCACATTTGATGGCGTGCAGGAAGTACTCCACGGCGTGCTGGTACAGCCGCAATGCCTCCTCGTAGTTCTTGGCCTTGTCCTCCTCAGTGGCTTTGGTGACCAGGTCGATGGCCTTCTGCGGTGGGGGGGAGCGCCGTGAGCACCGGGCACCGGCGGAGCCCCTCCCCTCCGCCAGCGGCCGGGCCGGGCCCGCTCGCACCGGGGCTCCCCCGCTGCGTCCACCTCCCTCCCCACTGCGCCGGCACCGGGGCTCAGCAGGGCTCGGCTACTTCAGCGGGGCCCTGCACCGGAGCCGGGTGAGGCCTTTCCCCGGCCGGCACGGCGCCGGGGCCCGGTGAGGCCCGTCCGCTGGGCCGTGAGGAGGCCCGGCGGGAAGGGGGCGCGGTGTGGGCGCGGCCGGAGCCCCAGCCCCGTGGCGCTGGCCGCGGTCCGTACCTGCAGGGTGGACGTTGTCATCGCATCGCCCGGTGCGGCCGCTCCGGCGGCCCCGGGACGGCGGCGGCGGCGGCGACTGCGGCTGCGCCCGGGAGCGCGCGCCCCCTGGCGGCACCGCCGGCATCTGCACAGAGGGGAGGGGCCGCAACCCCGCCCAGAGCGCGTGTGAGCCACGCCCACGGGTGGGGCGTGTCTTGCCGTGGCCACACCCACAAGCGATTATGCATTTAAGGGCGTGGTCTCGTCCATTATGATACGTAGTGTTATGTAGGCGTGGTTTTTTCCCCAGCCACGCCCATTGAGGCCCCGCCCCGCGTGTACCGAGGGCGTGCGAACGCCCCAAAAACACGTGAACGCGTATTTGTGTGTTCATATGTGTTTATGTGTTCATATGTGTTCATGTGTTTGTGTTTGCATGTTTGTGTGTTCCTGTGTCCGTTCATGAGTGTTTATGTGTGTTTGTGTGTGCACATGTGCGTGTATATGTTCACGTGTGTACATGTGTGTGTGTGTGCCCAGCTACACAGCCCTGTTTGTACAGTATGTGCACACGCACTGTGCACATGTGTACAGTATTTACCTGTGCACAGATACACAAACACACACACACACATACACACACCTCTCCAAACACCTGCAGCTACCTGTGCCCACTGCTGTACCCACCTGCCCAACAGGTGAACTGGCCCCGCTTCCCTTGCTGTAAAAGTTGCCTCAGCCCTCTCAGAAATCCCCATAGAGACCCTGCCCCAGCTTCCCCAGAGATCCCCCCATTCCTTCCAGACACCCTCACTCCTCCCACCATCCCCAGGCCAGACTCAATGAGACTCAGAGCCCCTGGAAAAGGCAATCTGATATAAATAGCGATTTACAAAGAATACAAAAATAGAAGGGGGGGGAAGCACCCCAAAGGACCCCAGAGCACCCCAGAAGCGCAGAACCGTGCAGGAGTTTGGCTGGGGGGTACTGGGTCCCGGCAGGAGGGGGGAGCCCTGGAGGCCCGTCCCACTGTGGCCCTCCCTGGGCCTCCCAACCCCCAGGGTGTGGGAGCTGCCCCCAGGGGGAGGGAAAGTACAAAAAGCGAAAAGTGCATCAATCTACATGTCCTGCCCCAGGGGACCCCCGGTGGAGGGGCACAGGGACAGCCCTGAGAGGGCACAGGGACACCCCTGGCCCAGGGCAGAGACACGGCGTTTGTTCAGCCTTTGGGAGATTTGGGGGTCACTGCAGTGGGGCATGCGGGGAGGCCAAGCCCCAGGGACCAGGACTCTGGGCCAGAGCACCCCCTTTGCACCCCTGACTGCCCCCTGTAAGACAAATGTGTCCCCCCAGCCTGATTAGGGCGTGGAGACCCTGTCATGCAGCAATGGGGGGTCTCACAGCCCCAGCCCTGTCCCATGTGGGGACAATGTGACCTCTTTGGGGGAAGCCCCAAGACAGGGGGACACTGGCTCTCCTGGACGTGAGTTGGGGGCACCAGGGGTCCCCCAGGTGGGAGGACCGAGCTGACCCCACTCCAAGGCACAGGTGGTGAGATCAGTGATGGCTTCAGCCCCAGGGGGATTAAAGCTGGTGTGTGTACCCCGATCCCCCGGGGCACTGGGGGGGCCAGGAGCGCTGGTGTGGGGCAGAAGGGGCTCACTCCCCACTCTCAGGGCAGCGATCCCAGCCCCAGCAAGGCACTGATTGGGCAGGAGAGGTTGGGGGGCCTTCTGCGACCCCCAGCTGGTTTGTGACAGGGCGAGGAGGCTGGGGCACCTATGCCAGCAGCCCCATGCGGGTGACTTTGGCCGAGAGGAAGGTGTGCAGGACGAAGACGATGGGCTTGGGGCAGGAGTGCAGGTCCAGCGCCTGGGGGGGAGATGGAGAGTGATGTCAGCCTCCCCCACATCCCACTGCAGACACTGGGGACTGCAGGGCTGGGGGTTCCAATCTGCCGAACCCAGTGGGTCTGGGCAGCTGGGATGCTGCAGGGATAGGGAAAAGCAAGAGGAAGCAGGGAGACCCCCAAACCAGGGGGTGAACCTGGCTGCCCCCTCCTCACCAGCTCCCCCTCAGGGCCCCCGAAATCCAGGTAGAGGGTCCTGATGCCGTCATCCGCAGACATCTTCAGCCGCTCGTAGGGGTAGCGGAAGAGGACGCTGGAGCCTGGCTCGTCCCGGGAGATGGTGAACCCGCCCTCGTAGTGGATGGAGAGCTGGACCTCCTGCCCTCCCAGCGTGCAGCCTGCGGGCACAGCTGCTGTCAGCCCTGCAGGGGAGCACGGGGAGTCAGGGGGTCCCAGCACCGCAGCACTCACCCACAGTCACCTCCTTGATGAGCTCAGCAGCGGCGTGGCAGCCCTGCACCAGCACACGTGTCCAGGCAGACAGGTCCCGGTGGGTCTCCACGCGGAACACGTGCATCTCCACGCCCTGGCGAGAGCCCGTCCGAGTGGCAAATGTGAGCTCCGAGCCCAGCGCGGGCGAGCGGCGCCCGGAGCCCGAGTGGACCAGCCTGGAGGGGAGGCAGAAGGACGGGGGTCAGGGGTACGATGGCAGTGTCACCACCATGTCACCCCGTCAGCGTTTTGGTGTTTCTTTCCAGCTCGGAGGCAGAGCCACGACGTGAGGGGGCCCATCTCCGGCTCACCTAGTGGCCACCAGCGGGTAGCTGTGGCATGGCGAGGCCCAGGCGTCCCTGGTCCAGGGCATCCCATCGTAGAGCAGCAGGTCCTTCTCTGTCACTGCCATGAGCACCGGCCGCCACTGCTGCCGCCCGCCATCCAGGCGTGCCTGCCGGGCACCAGGGCACGTGAGGGGTGCCAGGGGCTGCAGGCACCTGCCACAGCCCAGGAACCCAACCCCTGCACCCATGGTCAGATGGTCACATGCACCCCAACCCAGGGCTTCCTCATTGCTAGGCAATATCCACAGCACTGCCATCCTGGGAAAACAAGCTGGGAGCAGCCCCCAGGGATCCTGCTCACCACACTGCCGGGGCTGGCTGCAGCTCTGAGGCAGTGGATTCATGGAAAAGGGAGGGTGTGATGAGGGGTTCCATCTGGAAAATCCCAGTAGGAGAAGGGGCCGACGGCACGGGAAATGCTGCCATCACCGGGGCACTGCCCCAGTGGCATCCTCAGCACATCCTCTTGGCACTGCTGTTCCTAGGAGCACCCCAGCTCATCCCATCAGTGCGTACCTGCTCGGCCAGCCAGGCGATGTGCTTCACCTCCCGCCCGCCGGCCGTGGGGCTGCCAGAGCCCAGCGTGGCATTGAGCTCGGCCAGGACCTGGGGCAGCAGCGCGGTGATGTTGGCGTGCAGGGCACTGAACCAGGCGTGGGCCGTGGCCGTGTCCCGGCACCGCAGCACCAGCGTGTTCCGGCTGTCCGGGGAGTGCAGCTCGATCAGCCTGTGAGGGGACAGGGACACGGCCCAGGGTGGGACATCAGCATCACCTGAGTGAGCCCCTACCTGTGCCCAGCACAGCAAACTGGCTGCACTGTGCATTTCCACCTGCCAGGGGTTTTAGCCCTCATTTTAAGGCAGAGGGGTTGTCAGAGGTCTGGGAGGGAATACGGCATAGCCCTGGCCCTGGCCCAACTCTCTGGAGTGTCCTTCCCCAGCTCAGTGGGAGAAGCAGGGGATCATGGCCTCAGTGAGGGGCAGCCCCCAGCTGTGTCCAGGGTGTCCATGGGGTGCAGGGTCCCTCACACTGGCACTGGTGGGCAGACCCAGTCCTGTCCCGGGGGTCTTTGGGGAGCAGGATCTCCCACTCAGGCACCCGCCGGCAGCTCCTGCCCTCACCTGTTCTCCAGGTCAGGCATGCTGAGGTTCCGGGCGGCGAAGCACATCTTGAGGGGGATCACCTTGCGGTCACGGGGGCCCTGGTGCTGGGGGGACCCCGAGTCGTCGCTTCCACTCAGGCTGGGGGACTGTGGGGCCGCCCCTTCCCATGGCAGGTCTGACACCAGCGATGGCTTCTTGATGTAGGGGGTGACCTCCCGCATGAACTTCACTGGGGGGGAGCGGAGGCACAGTCAGGCCTGGGGAGGGTCCTGCACCCCCACACAACAGCCCTGTGCCCCAGGGTTGATCTGACAGGGTGACATGGCCCTCGCACACCAAGGCTTGGAGGGTCTTGGGGGGGTCCCACCCTGTCCGGGTCAGGGATGTCCCGAGTGAAGGACGATGCTGGCAGCTCATCCCGCCGCCGGCGCGGGTGTAGGAAAGGGAAGGCGCCGCAGGACAATGGTGCTGGGCGGGAGGTCAGGCTGCAGCCCATCCTGGTCCCATCCTGCCCTGCTGCTGTCGGAGTAGCCAGGACTGTGCCCGCCAAGTTTCCAGCACTGCTGGCGATGCTGAGCCGGCACTGCCGCTCACGCCCTGACAGCAGCACAGGGCGAAGAGGAGGAGGAGGAGGGTGTGCAGCCAAGACATCCCGGCTCCACACGCCTCTCCAGGCCGGGAAGGAAGGAAGGAGGCACCAGCTCCAGTTCCTACTCCCCCTGGACCGTCCCACCCCAGCACCACCCCGCTGACAGCAGCCCTGGACCCCCGCCCGGACACAGCTCTCGGCCGGCCCACGCCAAGCCCCGGCTGCCAAGGCCAAGGGAGGGACGCGCTGGGGACAGAGATGGGGCAGTGAGAGGGAAAACCAAACCAAAACAGCAAACAGGCTGTACTGCACTGGGA